ATTCTTGTAGAATTTATACAGAAAATAGGCATTTCTTCTCTGATGGCCTGAAATGTCAGTGGCTGTGTGTTTTCTTTTATTCTTACTGTGCCCAAAGACACTTATATCTTTAGATTGGAAGTGAGGACAAGCTGTAATAGTGAAACTAGTGTAATTTAAAGCTCAGCTTATGTAGCTTTTTGTTGCTTTGTTTTTTTCCTCCTGATTTCTTTATTTCCATCTTCATTATTTGCTTTCAGCATTTGACATGTCCACTTTCTTGAAAAGGTGCTGTGCTACCATGAAAGCCAATAGGGCTGAGCGGGGCTAACTCTGAAATTGGGAAATCAGGTCACAGAATCCCCCATACTCAACTCCGGGTGGCACAAGGACGGATGCTGCAGATGCATCAGTCACAGCCTGCCCTTTTGATAGCTGGGAGCTTCACTTCTCCCAGCAGGCGTATAATTTGTCCTTAGTTGCGCCAAACAAGTATCATTCAATAGACTTGTTTCTCAGAAGGTGCAACATAACTTGGGAAAACTGATTCTGCTGTTCAGATAAGAATTTTTAGCAATGCAAGTGTTAAACGGTAAGAAATTGCTATTGCATCACTGGCTCTAAAATGACAGGTTGGGCAAGCCACCTGTGGAACTTCTATTCCCTGTTTCTTCATCAGTGCATTACGCAATAACTCTTGATTCGACTCTGTTGCCTTTCTCTGTCCTTTGCTCTGTCAAAGTTTTCCTAAACAATTGGAAATTACAGAGGGAATTTCCCATTTACTGCAGTTCTTCCTGGTTGATCAGTTGTGTTGCTGTAATGTTTTATTGACAGCAGTTCTGCCAAGGTCTGTTCTGTATCCTGAAGCAACAGTATATACTGTGTAGGGCTGCATAAAAATTGGAAATTGGGGTAAACTGTTTCTAGCCCAAAAAGAATCTATCTTATGTTATTAACAGGTAGCAGGTGAAGATGTTGTAAACAGAGTTTAAAAACTTCAAGATAGGTGACAGATAAGCATGGAAGTTTTTATTTGGTTGGTTTTAATAGTAAACAAAAACCCGTAACTGAGAGGTTATAAGCTCAGTTATAGCTCTCAGTTATAAGCTGCAATCTCTCAATCATACTTAACCACCATAAAATGCCTCTCTGCCTTTCTTGAAGATAGTGGAATGCTTCAAGCCTGGCTTCGGTAGGGCTGTGTTTTGGCTGCAGTGTCGAATGCCTTGCCGTCATCAGGCATTTTCCATGCGTTTGCAGGTTTTCATATGCAAATTCTGCCTGAAAGCAGATGCAGGTTTATTTGCACAACTCTACTCATACTCAGTTTCATAATGGGAAAGTTATGGGGCAAGCTGCAATCCCTGAAATAATGCCCCTTTTCCGCTGGTGTGGGTGTGTTCACTGAGACTGACCTGCAAAGCCGTTGCAGGACTTGAGCCTCTCTGCGTGTTGGTCCCTGTGGGTAAAGGCCTCGTTGTGCCCGGAGAGGAAGCGCCTTCGGAGGGGACGGCAGCCGGGCCTCGCCTCTGCCCCTGGCCAGCCACCCATGCCCCTTCCCCAGCGCTCCGCTAACTTCCCCTGGACACTCGGGATTGCCGCTTTCCCGGGATTGCCACTTTCCCAGCCTTGCCTTGGAAAAGGCTCCGTTTTCCCCCGTTCATTTCACTTAGGAGGCAGCGCATGTCGGCTACTTCATGGGACCCCTGCAGAACTGGGGCCCCAAGTGGCCCCTGGAGGTGTAATGTCCCCCCGGCTGCCTTTGAAGCCAGGGCAGGCAGGAGCATTTCCCAGGGAATTCAACTGGGGATTTCACATCCCCTCCGCGACAGCGTGTCCCGCTGCTTAACCACCCTCCCTGCAAAGAGGTTTTCCTTTTCTCTCTCTGCCTCATGAGAAGTTCCCTTCTCGCCACCAGCCCTTACGAGTCCGGCGGCACCTGCCACAGGCTGCAGCGCTGAGCCCCATGCTGAGTCCCCGGGGCTACTCTTTACCTTCCCTCCAGCCTAAAACCCAGCTTAGTCCTGTGGGAGCTAAGGTCGACCTCACGGAGTGGAGGCAGCTGCCCAGCCTCCGGGAGCGAGGAAGCGTCACCTTCCTTGTGTACATGTGGGTTCCCCCATTTGTTTGTTACTGGACTCTCAACTTCAGGGAGGGAAGATGCAGGTGAGAGTCGTACCAGGCCTTTCCAGGCATCTTTAGCCATTTGCATTAAATCTTCCGTTGATTTTGAACTCCTGCTCGGTTAGGTGGAGGGCTCGCGCTCCTACACCCTGTGCAGCCAGTGCTGAATGGAGAGTCCGGAGGGCAGCTCAGGGCACGTGGTCCCTCATCGAGGTAACTAGAGCAGTAAGTGCTTGTAAAGCCAGAATTGCCTATGTGACCATGTTGGAAATGCTGCAGTTGGGTAGGGATTCAGCAGAGTGGAGCCTGATAAGGAAAAATGGAATTTGAGGGTGTATGGGGGGGTGTTTTGCTTGGAGGGAAGCTGGGCAGAGGAAAGGAGGTGCAGGCTGGTGGAAGGGGGAGCTCAGGGAAAGAGAAAATGCAGAAAAGGTATAAAATAGGCCCAAAAGAGGGTGCCCCATGGCAGCAGGAGTGACCCGTTCAGCCATGTGCTGGGGTGTCTGAAGCCTTGGCAGGGGAGCCTGCAGTGAGAAGGGTTAGACATGTAAGCAGAGACAGACGTGTATCCTAATACCGAGTGGAACAGGAGAGTGACAGAACCTGGATTTAACAGCATTTATATGGGTGACTTATAAGTTCTCTTTACAGTAATATAACCAATTCAGTAATGTAACCAGTGTATCAGTACTAATAAGCAAAAGAATTGCAATTCTTTATTACTTGCAATGAAACAACTGTGCAGGAATTACTGCATGGTTACTGTAACCATGGTGTATTTATTAGCCAGTTAAGATATTAGTTTTTTCAGGGTGTTTTGCCTAAGCAAGAAACATTATAACAATTGCCATCAGCTAGAGCTGAAGCCTGCAGTGCAAAGTCCTAGGGAACAACTAGCACCTTATCAATAAGGGAGACTGATCTGTGCCTTGAACTTGTCTCTGTTAGCAATTCTTCACATTACCTACATGATGCTTTTGATGCCCATAATACCAATTCGTAAGTAAGAAGATGTGTTACTGTCTTCACACTCTTAAATTCTCTTCTCCAAGTAGCGGAAAACTTTTCTGGTACTTAAATTACAGTGGAATGGGAGAATGGAAAAGGAGGAAAGAGGGATGATGAATAAATGTCTAATTTTCACGTTGTCTTAAAGGCAGTTTCTTGATAGAGACTGGATGCAGTGAACTATATATACGTGTGTGTGTGTGTATACCCTCTCTAAGACTACTACTGGATAACTTGGAAGAATTTTCAGAATCTTCTCTTCAGAATGTGGCTTCCACAAWATTTAAAAAAAAAAAAAAAGGGGGGGGGGGACTGGCGAGGAGAAAAGGAGAAGGAACAAAGGGAGAGAGACTGGTTTCTTGTCTGTATCCGAGTGCTGCTTTTGCTTGTGAGTGCTTCTGAGCCTAGAAATGCTTTCCCGTGGTTCATAGCTAGCCAGTCCTATCTGCCTGAAGAGGGAAGTGTTGCCAAGTTGCTCTTGATCTTTCACAGGGACTATCAGTTAGTTATTCAGTTAGCTATTATTCAGTTAGTTATTCAGTTAGCTGTTTCGTAGCATTGCTGAGTGCTGACTTAGAGCAGTTCAGACAATACAGTGTAGGGAGACGTGCACTTTAGCTGTGTCTTTTTATGGCGTCCTATTGCATATTGTAAAGCAGTAATAAAAAGCAGCATACGTCAGGGTGCAGGCCCTCGCCTCTGCTTTGCTGTGTTATTTCACACACGTGAAGCTGGGTGTCCTGCAGGCCGCTCGTCTGCACCCCAGCTCCGTGTGTTTCCCTGGTTCAGGCTGCTGTATAGAGAAACTATTTCTGTGGAAAAGGAGCTGGTCTAGAAAGACTTCGATTGCTTATATATCTAGAAATAAATAGAGGATGGTATCCTTCATGAGGCTGCCTGTTGCTGAAGAACAGGGATGAGCATCCGTGAACAGACTGACCCAGGGCACTGCCTGAGAGAAGCCACCTCTAAGCTCAGCTTAGTCCTAGCGGCAGCAGCTCCTCTGTGGCCCCCAGCTCAGCAGGATCCCCCACGTTTGCCTTGCGTAGGTCACTAGGAGCGTGGGGATGGAGCGACCTTCAGCAGCAGCTCATGTGGAGCCCACCTGCAGTGGCAATGAGGACTTGCCGTGGGGGTTTCTTCAGAGCCATCGTAGGTGGGTTTTTTCAGGTGAAATAGCTCAGTGGGCAATGAGCAGATAGAAGATGGGTATACAGTGCAGTAAGTATACAGTGAAAGAAACTCTAACCAAACCATTAATATGAAACTGGAGTGTGCCCTACATAGATCAGTACTACAATCTAGAAACGAGAAAGCTCAGAAAAGTCATCTGTGAAGTCTGATGTCACTGTGTTGGCCACCAGCAGCTATGAATGTGGTCCTTTGTGACTGCTGAAGACCGAGCTCCCCAGCTTCTGCAAGGATGTTACACTGAGACTGCCTGGGCTAGGCCCCCTCTCTCTGCCCCCAAATTGGGTTTATCAAACTAGGGCAAAGCAAACATGCTGTCTTTGCAGGTAGCGTTCAGAGTTCAACTTTCCTTATTTCACAACCCACACTCCTGACCCTAAAAATACACGTACGCTTCACCCACAGAACCATTACCTCACGAGCTTTTATTTCCTTTGCCTTTTGGCTGAATGTTTTATATATATTTTTTTCCTAACCCACTTTTTTAAAAAAAAAAAAAAAAAAAAAAAAAAGCCCTGTGCTATCTCGGTTTACGGCACGAGGAAGGTGTGCAGCGCTCGATGGAATTTGCCGTGGGGAAACCCGGGCTGAGGTTGGGAGCCGCCTGCGCGTGAATTCCCGCGGCGCCGCTGCCGCTATATAAGCGGCGCCGGAGCGGCAGGGCTGGCAGGAGCCTCGGAGCACCTGGGAGCTGCAAGAATGACGGGACCCAGCTACCGGAGCCTGGCGCTGGCCTCCCTGCTGGGGCTGCTGCTGCTGCTCTCCGCGCCCTGCCAAGGTGAGTGAAATGGGCTGCTTGGCCCAGCAGGCGCCGTGCGCTGCTGTCCCGGCACGCGGCAGGCCGGGCACGGCCCCAGGGCTCCTCTTTACCTCGCTGCTTCCCTTCCTCCCAGCGCAAAGCAACCAGGACTGCTGCCTGTCCTACAGCAAGGTGCGCCTGCCTCAGCGGGCCATCATGGGCTATAGCGAGCAGCTCTCCAGCGAGGTCTGCGACATCAATGCCATCATGTAAGTTATTCCCTGAGACATCCAAAATACTGTTGAGGGATCTTATACCTATTTCAGAAGTTTGAGTAGATCGTGTGCAATGCTTACACAAAATATTGCAAGTCCAATAGTTGATGGGGCTTCTAGATCTCTGGACAGCTGCACGATGTCAATGAGAAAGCGGTTCAGGAATCAGCTGTACAAGCAAGGACGTGCTTGGTCTTCAGCGCAGCCTCGTTGTGGCCAGCAGCAGATGCTCTCCTGAAGCAGGGCCGCAGGGGATGAGCCATGGCTCCTTTCCCAGAGGTGTCTCCCAAGGTTTTAGCCCTCCTAATCATGGTCTGTCACTGCAGCTTGACTGCAGGTGTTCTGCTCCCAGATTTCTCCTGCATCCAGCAAAATTCTTTGTCTCAGTGTCTCTAACAAATTGAATACAGTTGTATGCCACAAAAAAAGGATCACCAAGGCTGAAGAAGCTCTTGTGTTTACATTTCATTAGGTTTTTCTTTTTGCTCATGCAGTATTGGAAAGGGCATGTGTAGCATCCCTTATCTAACTATTATTTAGAGAAGCAGTTTCCGTCTTTATATGGAGTAACATGAAGAGATTTCTTTTTCACTAAATACAACTTCACAGTATTTACTAGCAGGGAGTTTTTACAATCATTTTCTAATATTTTTTACCATTATTTCTTTTCTAGTTTCCATACCCGCCGTGGGTTGAAAGCCTGTGTAAATCCTAAGGAACCCTGGGTAAAGAAGCATCTTTCTTGGCTGAGGTAGGAATCTAAAAGCCTAAAATCCGTTAGGTTGAAGGAAATAGAAGAGGAAGGAAAGGAAGGAAATAAAAGCTCTTTTCTTCACATCTTCTAGAGGCCACTTCTGATGGCAATTCAGAACATATCTGTTTTTCTTTCTCCTGTTAGACATTGCTACTTTTTAGATTCCTTTACATGTCCTTTTCCTACCATAGCTATTCCTCTTTTTGCCAAATTTGGGGGGAGAGAGATTCACAGCTGATGTGTGCTTGAAGTGATTATGTGCATTCTCTCATTCCTTTTAACAGCCTAAAGCTCAAGAGGATGTCGATGTGATGTGGTTTCCAGCAGGGAACTAAACACAGACGTGGCCGAAGAACCACTAGGTTCAACCTCTTGGTTGAGACTGCCTCTTGTACACTGTTGTGTGCTTACTAACCACTATCCCTGGCTTCTTTGGAACCGTAAAACTTCTCGGGTTGATTCATATTGCATCACTGTTTTGCTTGAATTAAGCATTTTGTTAAAGTTTCTACTTTACTAACTAATATATGACAGTAGATTACTATCAGCAAAGATTGCCTTAAGCTATTGTACAGAGGATTGCGTATTTGTTTTGTATGTGTGCTGTGTGTTATTCAGCATATGTAAAGTGAGTTATTTATTCTGTTTATTTTGTTACTTCTTTGGCACTTTCTTGTGCCGAAATATTGCCTTTTAATTCTACTTAGCTGATAAAATGTTTTGAAATATTGTTAAAGTCTGTGTGAAAAATGGAAATTGGAGATTTAAAAATAAACAAATCTGTGTATAAGTGATATGTTTATTTTTTTAATTGAAAAAGGTAACATCTCCCTTGAAATCAGTTCATTTACTCATAAGGCTCCAGGTGACACCATTATGCAAGTGTATTCACATCTGTTCCCAGAGCGTTCACTCTGTTTGCCCTGTGAGTACCTACAGACTCTTGAGAATATGACCCTTTTCTTCTCACAGACAGCAGCTGAGCATGAATCTTTTGATGAATGTGGTTTGGCTCAGTCTCTTCTTAATCAAATTTCAGGGAATTTCTCTTACTGGTTCCTTTATCTGTTCAGGAGAAATGTTCTAGCTCACCCTCTGAGAAGCATTATGGTTGTATTGATACTGTCAGTTCCAGAGTCTTTCAGACAGGTCTATGCTTTGATTCTTGCTATGTTTTAGTCACAGAGGAAGGAGCATTAACTTAAACATTCAGTTTAAACGTTCAGATGAGCTATGCATTTCTTGGTGTTCCTGTGACAGGAGCTGGAACCTTCCTTTTTAATAGTGGTTGTGAATCTAAGGCTGTTGATTCTAGTTTCAAAACCTGCCGGAACTTGCACAACCAGCTTGTGGCCCTGCAAACCTGGGAACTTGCAGTTTGCTGGGAGTGAAGCTCTGAAGGAACAAGATTATTTGCTTTCAGGGTTTCCAAGAGGTGGATTCCATGTGCCTCCCAAGGGGTAATAATATAAGAAGCTATAGCCATTCCAGAGAAGAGTCCTTGTCCAGCTCACTGGGAATTTCCAGAATTTCTTAACAGGACTGGGGCAAACTGCAGAGCTCTGCTGACTGCTGCTGACAGCACTGGTGTGTGCTCCCATGTGGCATGACTCAGGTGTAATTGGGCACCACCAACATCGGACAGACTCCTGGCTCCTGGTGTCTTTACTGGATGCCTATTGAAGTTCCCCAAGCCTTGCCTGGGAACAGATGAGGTGTTGCAGGGAGATAAGAGGGAAGCACAACACCTGGTAGCTGCTGGCAGAATCCCGTCTGCGATACCTGGCACGGGCAGAAGTGACAAGGTTGGATGGGGAAGATGTGGGGCAATGAAGTGAAGAAATGGGAAGAAGGCAAGGGAGGATTGGCAAAATAGTGGGAGAGGAGCTGCCAGGAGCAGGGAGACTTTAGAAAGCAGAGCAACGTATTAACTTTATGCAGAACAGCCCAAGGTAAGTGATTCAAAGCCCAAGAGCAGTACAGGAAAGTGGTTTGATGTCTAAATTGGAGTGGGTGGCTCTGTACTCATGCATTGGGCTTCTGCAACATTCTGCATCACTTAGGCAAATCCTTCCTCCTGTCGGCCAGTCTATCACCACAAAAACCCAGGTGCTCTATCTACAAAGCTGTGACATGTGGGATCTTGCTGCTTTTGTTGTTCCTCCTCTTAGAGTTGAATGCTGTGGGGTTTTTTGGTTTGGTTTTTTTTTTTTTTTTTTTTTTTTTTTTTTTTTTTTTTTTTTTTTTTTTTTTTTTTTTTTTTTTTTTTTTTTGTTTTTTAAATCATCAGCCTCATTGGAGGGAGAAAGAATCGCCTGAAAATTGCTTCCAGTGCTCAACGAGTTAGGTCGGTGAGGCTGTCAGGCTACTGCTGGGAAATTCCCTGTGAGAACATTATGTCCTTTCATGAATTTCTGAGGTTGCAAGCAGGCAGTATAAGCAACTGCTGTACCCCTAAAGCCATCAGATGGAGAGGAGTTGTGTTTTCTTTCTGAGCAAATGACCTTGAGTGGCAGTAGAAGTTAGCTATACCACTGAAAATTGATTCTTTCTAGGAAAAGCTTGATCCTGTTTTCTTTGGGGCAGTTTCACCTGTTTTGCATTTGCACAGATGAATTTCTCCTCTACAAGATTTATTCCTTTTGTTTATTTAGAAAAATATTTTGTGACCAGTTATGTTTTCTTGCAAAATGCCTGACAGCCTTCTTTTATTACAGCTTTAGTTTGCTCAGATGGGACCAAGGACGTTGCCATCAGAGTCATAGCAGTTCCCTATGTCACTTCCAAAGCAGTATCTGCTCTCATCCTGTTAAGACCAACCCTCCCTGATTCCTGTGCCTGTGGCAACAGTCCTATTGACTCCTGTACATGAATTTGTTTTCTGATGTTTTTTATTTTTAAAAGAAATCTTTTTATTTTCTCAAGCAGTCTCACTACATTCCCATGGAGAATGTTACAACAATTGATGTTTTTTAGAGCTTTCTCAGAAAACTTCCTCTTCATTATATGGAATCAAATTTTTGTTTTACTCTCTTATTGTTTTTCTCCAACTCCAACACAAAGTCACTATGATTGTTGCATTTCTCACATGCAGAAACTGCCTCATCAAAAAAGGGCTATCATTAATTACTGGGAGCTGTAGTTGTAATATTGCCAGCAACTCTGTGAAATTAATATTATTGTGTAAACTATCGGTTTAAAGAAGTTCAGTTATAGTATGACTACTCTTGGTTAGTACTGTCTGATGTGCAAGTAACCTGTGTGTATGTGTGCTAATGGAAAAACCTGTTTAAATATTATAGTTCACCTGTTTTTATCTGTAGTCACTCCTGTGACGATATCTTAGGGTGGAAATAGGTGTACCACGAGGATAATACACACTTTCATATATCTCTGCACACCCTGTGTTTAAATGTTCAGAACAGCACCTGCTAATCAGAGGTAGCAAAGATGTTGATTAAAAATAGCTTTGTTTTCCTCAGGAATAGCAACCATTCTGCTGCTTTTTTGCTGTTCAAGCATAAAACCTGCTCTATCTCCTGAGTTACCACAGGTTTTAATTTTTCTGTTGAATTATTAATGTTCAGTCAATATTAGCTCCTCTCCATCAGTTTAGGAATGTTTCTCATCTTTTTTTTTTTCCCCAGCTTCCAGACAGAGGGGTCACGAAGCCCCCTCGTGCAGATCCAGGACGGAGCGGGGCAGGCACCTCGTCCTGGCCTGAGGTGGGAACGCGGAGATGGAGCCCGTGTGGTGACCACGACACTTTGAGCCCCCCTTGTAGCAGGGTTGGGAACTGGCCCGTTAGTTTGATTTGCCGCTTCCTACAAACCCATGTGTAACACTTTTGAATAGATGCTTTTGACTAGAATAAATGCTTCAATTGTAATTCTGCTAAGCAATAAGTAGGGGAACTCCTGAGAGGAGAAAAGCTCTGGACTTATGAAACTGCCACTTGGTTGTAAGAGCATACACCCAACTAGATAAACATTAAAACAGAGGAGGTGATAAATCGTAAAAAAATTTCTGTAATCTGATCTCAGCTCTTTTATGCTCTACCAGTCTTAATCCAAATACCAGCCTGTCGGTAAGACCCCTTGCCAAAATATGAAGCACAACAGAAATTTTTCTCCACGGTTTTTCTCCGGCTTGACCAAATTGTCGTTATCATATTTCTATATTTTTAGTTATGGTATGCAGTGTTTATGATAAGTTAAACTGCCTGTAATTGTGTGAATTTACATAAATGCAAGCTCTCATCTATGTTCCTGTGATTGTGAGGTGATGCTGGTCTTGATCACTGCAAGATTGAGTTAGGGAACACTGGGCGCAAGAGCAGCTCTGTGCTCAGCACTGGCGTGTACTGAAGTGCAGGGACCAGGCACAGAGTGTTCCTGACTTCTGGCTGCACCTCTAGGTATGTTTGTGAGGTAAATCATTACTACTCAGGTGAGAGAAGACAGTGTCATTGGGTAGCCATTGAGAACCCCTGCAAACCAGAAAAAAATAAGACTCACAGCTTGGAGGGGATAGTTAAGTGCTCTGAACTGAGTGGTCAAGCCACCTATTTGGAGTTATCAGTGGCGGTAGGTTCAAGTAGATGTTCTAATTGACAATGAAATTGCTAATTACAATGTTAAGGTTAAACCGTTAGTTTACTGTTCTTGCAACGTCACTGGTCAGGTATGAAGCTAGCGAGAACTGACCGAGTAGGCAAATGGGAACCTGAGAATGGCAGATGTAGTGCAGGAGATTACCTGGGAGCTGCAGAGTGGTGTCTTCGGCTACTCACGCAAAAGCAGCTATAACTTCATGTACAGACAACCTTTCTGATCCACCCAGATTTGAGCAGTAGAAATCAAGACTTTCATGAAAGTTTGTCACATATCTCAAGAATAACAATATTCTGGCATGATACCTTCCTGCTGTGATTGATCTTTTTGAATGTATACATGCTAGTCCTGATTGGAAAAAATAGATTTGCTCTTCTGGTGGGTATCTGAGTGTTTCAAAGTGTTTTCCAGGAATAAATGGTCAAAATGTCTTTCAGAATAGTTCAGACCTCAAAACGGTGCGCTCTCTATAGCATTGCTGGAAATTATTATGAGAATTGTTAATAGGCAGTAATATTTTATAAATTTGCAAATATGCAGTGCGGTATTAATGTTAACCGCAATGAATGGGTGATATAATGTTTTGAACATCTACATGAAGTACATTGACATGATGGTAAGAGAACTTGGGAAAGGTGAAACAGGGCATCGCAGGAGGCCTACCATGTTTACTGAAGGCATGTACTGAAGCACAGGAAACTTCAGGTGAAATTCTAACAAATTTCAGCTTCATAGAAATGAAATATAAAATCCCGAAGGAGTTATTTTGACTTTTTAACTTAAAAAGGGTGGCAAAATGAACATGCTTTGACTGTAGTGAAGCTGTATTTTCTCTAAAAGGAAGTGGCTTTGACTGCTTATCTTCATGAACTCTTCTGTAGGCTTAGGAGAAATCCTGTTATTCATCAGGAGCTGCTTGTTTCCTCCTGTCTCGGAGGTTTGACACAACAGTAGATTAGGTACACAGACAACAAATGGTCCCATTTTCTTTAGTAGATGCCTCGGGATAACTGACTGACTTTCATCTTGCAACTCGGACAGTCTGACCAAAGAACCTGCGTGCAATTACCTGTTTTTGTCAGCTCCATCTACCTGGATGGTACAAAGCTCTCCTTAACCAAAAGGTCTTCAGCCACCTACAGTCTGGACTATGGAAAGAAAGATAACAGGCATTTCTGAATTCTTCTTGGAGAAGGTAGGAGAAAGGCAAATTGGACATGTTTGTTTGTTTGGGTTTTTTTTTTGGTGTTTTGTTTTTTTCTTTGAGATTTTTCTGTTTGCAGGTCTAATCACCATCTTGACAAGTTTAAGACACGAAAGGCTTTCCCTTAAAAAGTAGATAGAAAGGGAAAACTTCTTTCAGTTAGGTTAAAATGTGTGTAAGAAATGGAAGATGGAAGAAAAGAGAAAAGATGAAAAATCCTCCCATACATATTGCTGTCATCTCTGGTAGGTACACAATACATGTCTAGTCACGTGCACAGAAGCTTGTAGGTGATATATTTCATAGGCAAGTAGTAACTATATATATTTATTCTGGATAACCATGCAAAGATGAAAAATGGAGAATCCTTGGGAAAGAGGGTGCTTTGTCTGTTCTACAACATGCTGTAAGCTCTGTCTTCCAGAATATCAGCTACCTAGCAAAGAGAAACTCAGGGGAATTCATGTTCCTTATGAAGCCAATAGGACTTCAACACTTTGAGAGCTATGGTGTCATGATTAGCATTGGAGATAACAGAGCAGAAAGGAGAAGCAGCTCTAACAATGCACCAGGGAGTGTTTGTGTGCACAGGTGCACATAGGTCTGGGCGGGAGGAAATGGGAACCCTATTCCAGAATAAAACACTTTGAGAAGGGTTAACTGAAACTATATCATTAGCCAAGCAGGAAAAAAAAATAAAAATAAAGGAGGGTGGGAATATTGGAGCACAGTCTTTGTGCAGCTGATAGCCTTGGCAGCTAAGAAAAAATGACAATGAGCAAAAAAACTCCGCTTAGTAAAAGTTTGCTATGCTCATGACTAATGTAACAGCAATAGGAAGTGGCTTTTTACATGTCTCCCTTCACTCAGCCGGCTCTTGGGCTGGCCGTTCTGATTTAGCATACCGCAGACTGACCTACTTGAGAACAAGTGGGTCATGATACAACTTCAAATCAGGAAGCCTAAAACCCACTCTTCTCTGCAAGCGAGAGTGTGTTTAAGTAAGAAACACTTTCGTCTTTTTATTCTTCTTAGGGCATGATATTTTGATGCAAGAAAAAAGCTTTCAGGGTCTGTGATAGTAGATAGAAGTCCGCAATTTTCCATTAACTGTATTAATTTTGCCTCATACCCTCCATGCAGTTGTCTCCAGTTCTCTAGGTAAGTGTTTATTGCAGCTTGTCAAAGGCTTTTTGACATTGACTGATAATGAGGCTTATGGTATCCTAACTTTCTGCCACTCCTGCAAACTGCTGACAAGCAAAAATACATACAGGGTGCCACTGATTTATAGATTATCCTTCCAGTCTTGATTTATAAATCATCCTTCCAGTCTGATAACATCAGTAGTTGGCACTCTGGAGAAAAAAAACCCACATTTCTATACATTCCTCTACAGGAATAGAGCAATCAATGCCACTGTCCTCTTTGGGACAGCCCACATAGAGGCTGCTTAGAGCTTTCCAGGGTGACTCTGCTGCTCCCCAAGGAGAGAGGGTTCAGAGGGCTGTGGGGAGGAGATGTCATGGCGCTTTGAGACCATCCCACTGCCTTCTTCCCTGCCGAGACCAGGGTGACTTTCAGTATTTCTGTGTCTCGTGTGGAAAAAATTAGACAAGTTATTTGACATATGGTAATAACACTTGGAAAAACTCAAAAAACTTATTTCTTAAGAATATGGGAATAATTCATGTAATGAAAATGCAAATCTGAAGTACAAGGCTAAAGACAGGCTTACTATGTAAACTACAGTGAAACTGGAGATATGCCTAATTCATGTTGTAGAGAAGCATCAAGCCTTTGAAATTAAATGCAACAGTTCCAGTTATTGTTAACTACTACCTCAAAGAGGCCACATCAGTGTGTATTTATGAAGAACACAGGGGAAGGAGTTGATGCAGGAAATGACCCTGTGGCATGTGCATAGCTAGCAGCACATAATTTAAAAGAACAGAAAATGTTTATATTCAAAAATTGTAATCTGGGTAAATACAGATTCTGATAAACAAACACAAAAAGCTTTTAGGAAACTGGAGACTACCAAGAGCAGCGGCTGTTTAAAGGTTTATTTCTGAATAAGCTTGTTCAAAGCAAATCAACTCAAAGGCAACAATGCTCAGCTTAATCAGGAATGATTAGTTTTGACGGATATATTTCTTATCTTCCTCTAGGCAATGGGTTTTTCATGTACAAAAAAACAAACACGTGGCAAGGAGGAGCCAGAGGCGCACGTTGTCCCTGGCCGTGTCCCAGGGCCGTTCCAGGCCTGCCATTGTTCTTCACTTCCCGACTTCCAAGGAGTCGGGGCCCCCTCCATGGGGAAGCTGCGGGGAGCCCAGGCATGTTGGAAGACGCCCAGTGCACTGAGACACAGACCTGGACCCTCTCACATTTAAAGTTTGTATGTAGTTATATACTTATATACATGCACGTAGGGACATGGTTAGGCAGGCATAGTGGTGATGGGTTTACAGTTGGACTCGATCTTGAAGGTCTCTTCCAACCACTGTGATTCTATGGTTCTATCTGCTTGAAAAATGTTATTTTTTCCCTCTTGTCCTTGATGAATTGATGAAACCGCATTTCCTTGCTCACTTATCTATCCCGACTTTCCCTCTACAATATTAAGCTGATCAATTTTTCTTCGAATTTTGTTTTTGCGCCTTGTTGGGGCTGCCGCGTGGCAGCCGCCTCGGAAGCCCCTTGCGCGCAGCAACTGTTAGAGACCCTCGCGCCGGCGGGCGGCGCATGCGCCTTGCGCGCAGCAGCCGTTAGGGACCCTCGCGCCGGCGGGCGGCGCATGCGCCTTGCGCGCAGCAGCCGTTAGGGACCCTCGCGCCGGCGGGCAGCGCATGCGCAGGGCGAATGTTTGTGCGTTGCCACGGAAACGGGCCGAGGCCGATGGCCGGCGCGGGAGGATGCGGCTGAGGCGGCTCCTGCTGCGCTACTACCCGCCGGGTGCGGAGCGGGGGGACCGAACCGGGCCGGGCCGGGCTGGGCTGGAGCGGGCCGGGCCGGGCCTCGTCTGACTGCTGCTGCTGCAAGCTCCCGTGTCACAGAGTCACGGAAATGAGCGATTCCCACCGAAAATGTACCTGTATTGCAAACAGACTGGTTAAAAATTTGGCTTATTGCTTGTTTTAGTACCTTTTCTTTCTGATCTTTTTTTTTCTCTGAGCAGACCCTTGCTTTGGAAGGATATCCTGCCCTCGTGGTGCGGCCTTAACCCAGGCCGGTCACTTGCAGCGTTTTCTGAAACGCGACAAGCTGCAGATGACTTATTAGTCATCTAATCAGGATGCCTTTCTGTCAAATCAGATATTTTCCTTGTAAACTTGCTAAAAATAAAAATGACGTGAAAATTCATCCAAAATACTCTTTTCTGTGGGAAACCAAGGTGCTATAAAGCTCATCAATGAATGCTGTGAAACAGAAAGCAATATGGTTAAACACTTTAATACTTCAACTCTTACACAGGTGCCAAAGCACTGGAAACGAGAAGTGTGCTATGATTTTCTGTGCTTTACTACACATAGGCCTTTCACAGCAGATAAATTAAACAGTTTTTGTAAAATATATTTTTCAATTTGCTTGGAACACCAAGTTACAGAAAGTACCTTCATAACAACTATTTTTAAAATAGAGCTGGTGAGATCCTACAAAAAGTTATTGGGAAAAAAAGGTTTATTTCCAGACCTGAAAATGTCCAGACCTGAATCATAAATATAGCATTTAGAATATTAATGTTTAATATCTATTACCCTTTAAACACATAAGAGTAGTTCATTGCTTTGCTAATTTACAGCAGAAATTGTCACTTTTGTTCAAATCTCATGATTTGGAAGCAGGTCTGTTGAAGGCAGTGATATAATTAATGCAAGTGAAGATACTAAGATCTACAGTATATAATAATCCCTAACAACTGTTTAAGAGTTACTCATATTTTTTCCCCCTATCTTTTTCTAAGGAATTATCCTGGAATATGTACAAAGTGGTGAGCTAAAGACCAGATCCATAGATCTACTCGATCTTAGACCTGAGTAAGTAGGATTCTATTTAGGATAGTTGCACTGTATTCTGTCTTGCAGCATGATCATATGCAACTCTATCTGGATGATTTTTAACGAGATTGGTACCACTTCAACAAAAGAAAAAACTTGTAAAAAGAAAATAATAATTCTACCTGTATTTTAAGTACAGAGTTTGCATTCCAACAGACTATTGCCATCATGCTTTCTGCCACTGTTCGGAGATTGAAGCTCTTTTTGCTTATAGAATTATGATTATCAAGGAACCAGCAGAAATACTGGGTTTTATTGTACCAAACTTCAATATTATAACTCGTGATAATTAGTTTTTAGGTACTGTAATAATATTTTTGTTCAGAATGTTTTGAAAAGAAAAACAATCTGATTCAACTCCCAGTTATGCTGCTTTAAATGGGCAAGTTGAAATCATTGAAAATGACAACTAGACATAAATATAAGCTTAAGCACTGAGTGAATAACATAGGAAAATGCAACTCTGTTTTAGAAGACTATTATAGAAGATTTATTTTTAGACTGTGAAGATTTATGTAATAAAATGCTAAATTTTCTCAGAAGGACCAGTTATAAATCTTTGTTTGTGGTCTGGTGGGTGAGTATTGTCATCCTCAAAGTTTTTCATAGATGGCCAGAAAAGAGCAGTTTATCTGATACATGAAAAATACCACTAATATACCAATAAATACCAGTAGACTCTGTACTGCAGTTTGGAAGTTATTGCTCTAGCTAAGAGTTATAGAAACAGGCATAATTTGTGAAGCCATGGACCAAGATTATTTTAATACTATCATATATATTTTATCATGTTGTTACTTCGTGGGCTTTTGGAGAGTTCGTGGAACTCCAGTTTAAGCTAGATGTTTATTACTAAAATACCAATTTTGAAAACTTATGCCCCACATCTCTATGGGAACCTTTTGAAAAGGAGGAGGTCTTGCTAAGCTAAAGTATTTAAAAGTCCTATCTTACTGAACTGCTATACTAAAAGAGGGAAAGAAATGTAGAAATGAAAATAAAAGATTTATTCTTGTGTCTTTAAACCTTTATTGAATTAGATAAATTTTATATAAATAGTTTTAATATAAATAATTGCTTACTTACATTTCTCAATGTATATGTTTTTTATGTTTTTATAATCCTGTTGTCAGAAGACGATTTTTTTTTTCCTGAATTAGCACAGATATTATGGTGTTAGCAGAAGAAATTCAGAAAGAAGAACCTCTCATCACAGCTTCGTGCAAGGAGCAGGTCATACATTTATTACGAAGACTGCAGGAAAAGCTTGGGGAGGAAGATGATCGCAAATTCTATCTTTTTAAGGTCAGAGATGCTTGGGCAATTTGGGGGTGTTTCAGTTGTAACAGTTTAAATACATTTTTACTGACCTATGTTGTAACTGAACACAAAATTTGGACTCTATGACAAGTCTCTCAGTTGTTTTCAAACCACCGCAGTGTTCAGAGAGGCCTGGCTGTTTGCATGGGTGATTACCCCCAAAAAGCTGGAGGTTTAGTTGCTGCTTCTAAGCAGTGTTTAGAGAGGCTGATGTGCAAAGGTGTGTTTTTGATGGAGAAAAGTAATTATCTTATTTGTCAAATGACTCTGTGGACCAGCAACACTGAGAGTTATGTTTAAACAAAAGCTATGAATAGAAGTCAAATAAACTAGCTGATGAGAAAAGCACTAAATATTTTTCTACATTATTTTTTTCTGATTTTCATTTTGGGTAAATTATGATTATTTTATTATTCTGCTGAAGACAGCAGTTCTGGCTGCTGTTTACTTTCTGCCAGCCAAGTGATATGACAGAGAAATGCAGAGGTTTTCGAGGCTTGGGCTATATGGGCCTTCTGTGATGGATTCTGCCAGTAAGGCTGCGATAATAGTATTAAAAAACAAAAGGCTTAATAGCAATTTTTCTTCCAATTTGCTTTGCAAAGCTGATGAAAAGGTAGTAATAGGAGTTTACCCAAGAGTATGGATCTTTTGAACAATAATTTATTCAATCATTCATTATCTGGAGAAAATTTAAGATTAATGAAAGGCTAGTCCTTGCAAACATCTTTATACTAAAACTATAGCTGTTAGTGATACTTTTTTTTTTTAACCTGCAGAGATTGCATTTTACAGGCTGAAATAATTGTGTTGCATCTTTATTGTGTCAGCAGATGGCAATATTATTAAAACGTTGCTCTATTACTGAGTGATATATTGAATTTAGAGGGCAGAGGGAGAAACCTTGTGTTTTTCATTGTGTTTGTTTTGGTCGTGATTTATTTGATTAAAAACATAACTTAAGATGTTACAAGAAATAATCTGGATACTTCTGGACAGTAGGATGCATAGAAGATTCGTATATTTAAACATGTAAATAAAGCTATGTATAATTAAGGAATCTTAAATGTAAAGGGTTTTAGTTGTGTTTTAAGATATACTCTTTGTTGTGACAATGCCTTTATTTTTCGTAGTCTTTTAAAATTGTTCTCACAAGCACTGGCACATCATCAAATATATATCTGAATTTCAATGTAAATAATATACTTGTTTTTTGTTGAGTATAGTGTATTGTTTGATTTCCATGTTTGAAAATATTAGCAGCAGGCAAATGACCACTGTTGGCTTATTTCCTTCACTCAAGAATAGTTAGAAATATGTGAAAAGAACTTTTGTGTTTCAGTTCCATTTAATGCATGCAAAAGTTTCACAAGCATTAGAAGCTGCTGAGATACTAATATGAGCTGGCAAGACTGGTGAGGGGAGAAAAATATTTTGCTGAACAATGTTCCATATGTTTGCACTATTTGGAAATGAATATTTTTTTTCCTGTTGCACAGCAGTGTAATCTAAACTTTCCTTTACTGTAATTTCCAGTAATTGTGGTAAGGGTGGTGTGGGACACCCGCGGCGAAGCGAGCTGGGGTAACAGCTTCTCAGGCTTTAGGTTCCCACAAAGCAAGGCACACTGTACTGGGCTGCAGGCTTAGCTTAGGGGCTGGTATAGCACATTTTGCAGAATTGAGGTACTTCTTTGGGTATCACAGATTATTGTACTGCTTGGCTCAAGCAGCTCTTACTAACCCAAAGCTTGCTCTCTTTCTCAATCCTTCTCCTGATCCTTGTTGTTTCTCTTCCATTTTAATCAATTGCTACTCTTCTGAGATATCTGAGCTGCCTTTGTTTTCCTTTCTGAATCTAGATGTGGCAGCAGAGAAAGATGTAAGAAGCAAGAGATAAGAACAAAAAGTTGATGCTCTGATAGTGTCAGTGTTTAAATGACCTTGCTCATAAAGCATGTTATCTTCAACCTCAATGTTACTGAGAGGAGCTAATGGACACCATTGCTGTGTTTTTAACACCTTGTTATTTCACTGTCAGCAGTTGCTGTGATTTCCAGATTATCATTTCATTATATCTTAGACTCAAGCAGAAGTCAGTTTATGGAAACTTTTATGGAAAGACCATGCAGTTTTCACAGACATAACCTGTTGAGGCATGGGTTTTTCAGTTAGTGGCAATTATAGTTATTTACAATCATAACTGCTAGGTTGACTGGAGGATGAAAAAATATTAAACGAATTAATATTCTGAGTGATGGGATTTTATGAAAAAAATGTATAAAATCTTGTTTTCTTCCCCCCCCCCCCCAAATCCAATCTTGTATTTCAGGTACTTAGGGCACATGTATTACCACTGACTAATGTCGCATTTAACAAATCCGGCTCCCGGTAGGTTGTCTTTTAATTCAAAATACATGATCACCAATGTCAGTTTTGTATTTGTAAATTAAACTGTGAGCGAATTTCAATATTCTTGAATATTTCAAATATTCAAATTTTCCTGAAAAAAAGAAGTCAGGCCTGCTGCTTCTAAACAACTTTAGATTGATTAGGTTTCAGGCCTCTCTGGGAGATCCAATAGGAAATGTAAAAAAGTGGTGGGTGAAATTCAGTTTAAATGCATCTTTTTCCTTCTAAGAAGATAGTTAGTTGGCAATCAATGCATTTAACAAAAAAGCACCTTTATGGCAAGAAAATGAACATAACTAAAAGCAATGAATCTTTGACATAAATTCATTTGGGACTTTGATTGTAGTGGAATGCCCAGATTTCACTCTGGGTCTAGACTGAATAATTTTTTTTTAGTATCTGAAAAGAAGCAGAGTGATTTTGATGGAAATACATTAAGATTAGAAATATATTTTGAAGATTAATATTAAAAAAAGAAAGAAAAAAATGAAAAGGAATGCCTATGTTTGTTAATCAAATTTTGGGAAAGAAAGAAAAGATTTAGTGGCCAAAACAATGATGGCTGAAATCAATGGAAATAATTGATCTGACTGTGTACCAGGACTGCTATGAAAATTCTTATATTTAGAAATTAATTTCTCTTTAGCTTTATAACTGGAAGCTATGACAGAACCTGCAAAGTGTGGGATACTACATCAGGAGAAGAATTACGTACGCTGGAGGGACATAAAAATGTTGTCTATGCAATAGCTTTCAACAATCCCTATGGGTAAATATATTTTTTCTGAGATCCATTATAATTACTAATTATGCTATTTTGCAAATTTGGAATTGTTTTATATATATATAAGAGAAATACTTATGACCACTTTTATTATTTCACTTATAGCACTTCTGTCATAAATAAGTGGATATCTCCATTTGGTGTTAAACATTCATTGTTATTTAGGGCATGATTTGGGAATGTTTAAGCTCTTGAGTCGTTTTCCTAAAGTCCACAGGGTGCCGCTGTGTGGATGTTGGATAAGCATTTGTGCGTCTTGTTTTCTCCAATAACTCCTTGCCCGTGGTCATAGCTGACACCTGTTAAATAAAGGGAATTAATTACACATCGAGTACTGAAGTTTTATTGTCATACACTTCTTGGGGAAGATTTATATCAAAATATCATTTGACTTCTCTGCAGAATAAGATATATATATTTTTTTTTTTACAATTGATTTTCTTTTCAGATAGAGATGTCTTATTTACCAGTTAAGCAGTTAACAGTATACTAAGTTAACATCAGGGAATAAATGTAAAAGATGTATTTATTATAAGGTTACTTTTAGCATCACCAGTTCCTTCTAGTGTAAAAACTAGAACCTACTGTCTCTTCTACTCCACTATTATTCTTTACTTTAAAAAATAATTTATGAAATTATTCTGCTTACTCCAGAGGAACTCATACAACAAAAATTTGTGCCGAGATCAATCACTAGACTGATGTTGACATATGCAGAGAAGCAAATGTAGCAAACATCTGCTCAATGAGAGAGAAAACCTGATAAGACTCTTGAACTATGTTAAATTTAAAGTCCGGTAAAAATAAGTTTTTTTTTTTTTTTGCTGATCTCCAGGTTTCTGTACAGTGTCCTTCACTGCATTTTCTGGGTACCTAACTGCGGTTTGATCTTGCTCTAATTGCATTTAGTCATAACATTCCCACTGACTTCAGTGGGAGGAGAGTTAGACCTTTGAAATTTGGGTAAGCTGTTTGTAATAGTGGTTTATAAGTGTTTATAAAACAAACAAACCCTGAATTCGTGGGTGGTCTGGCTGATGAAATGACATATTAATATGTCTGGAAACACAGAGATGACCTCCCCCTAATGTGCATTAGAAACTATGTCTGCATTTATTTTTACTGTAATATAACTTCTATTTGTGAAGTTATCTATTCAGAATGTGGTTATGGCAAAATGTGCCATGGGTATTTCTGCAAGAGCAGAAACAGCTTCATGAGCTTCTTGCAAGGAATTCTTCATCTGTTGACCTACTGCTATGTCAAACTTGTACAGAGGATGTGTGACCACCGACAGGGTTTGCTGTGTGCATAGGAGCACAAGGGGGAAAGTTCCCAGCTCCCAGTCTCCTCTTTGCAGATATACACAGGAGCAACTGCTACCAATTGAATAAGCTTATTGCTAAAGTAGGAGCTTGTGCCTGAACGAGTTGAAAAAAATATGTGCTGTCATGCTTTGAAGTTAATGTATTGTTTCTATGAGTTTTGCTGTCTTTGAAATTGGAGTTTCTCTTTTCTAAATAAAAATGATAGTGCTTTTCCATTTAGTGACAAGATTGCCACTGGATCTTTTGATAAAACCTGCAAATTGTGGAGTACAGAAACAGGAAAATGTTATTATACTTTTAGAGGACATACTGCAGAAATAGTGAGTACTGATGGACGTTACTTTTTCCTTTACATGCCACGCAAAATCATACATAGCTGTGGGCTTCACATGTTTATGAGCTGACATTGGAAGGAGCTACTATTCTGCATTTGTTCTCGCATTCAGATATTGTGAGCATATACGAGAAAGCATTCTGACAGCTCTTAAGAAACAGAACAAAACATTGCACACAATTTGAGAGGTTATTTTTAGTCTTAGCTTGTTATGGTTTCTTTTGTTTATCGAAACGTTGCCACATTTTTGAAAGTAATAGAACAATCTGAAATTTCTGTTTATTGCATTTTTTTATTCCTTGCTTTGTTTGCATTTTATCATTTTTTCTACTATTTTATACTGTCTTTCATATTTGCAGAACTGAATACACAAGAACATCATTGTTTGTATTGCTGTCTTTTACATAGACATTTGTAGTAATAGCACAGGACCTATAGGAGTCATAGAAGAATTTCTGAAATAAAATTGCATTTTAAGTATCTTAACTGAGAATATGTGGGATACAGAAATGTCGAAGATATATGGCAACAAACCAGTTTAAGCTTAGAAATGCTGTTTCCTTTTGAACAGACTAGAAATCCAAATAACAAATGTAACTATATTGACAGGATTTCACTTTAAAAGAGCAGGGCAAATCTACCGAAACCCTGTTTCAGTGCAAAATATGTTTCTGCATAAAATGAGTTATAAAATCATTATTTAGTAAAGCATTTCTAGAAAGTATTTCTGGAAAAAAAACTCTACATTTGTTTTGTAGTTTGCAAGGCCTATGTGAGAAAATGCTGGTTTACCTTAGTGGATGTTTTTACTTCTACAAATCAGGAATTTGTAAATATTTAAAGACCCTTTCAATGGAAGTCCTCTGACTTCAATAGGGGTGGGATTAGGCTAACATGTTCTGAGCTGTGGTAACAAATAATTGATAGAACAACCAGCAGAAAATGCTGTTTCTCTGTATGAGGTGTGTTTCTAAAATGAGGCTCTTGTTGCATGTGCTGCGTTGCTGGCAACAGTATATCCATGTCTATTCAGTGTTAGAAAAGGGCATCATGATGAAAATGTACCTGTGAACTCAACTACTGTTTTCCTTCTTTTATGACACCTGCTGTTCTTAGCAGGACAATCATATTAAACAATGCAAAGAACAGATAGCTGACTACTAATTTTTTTATGTGAAAAATGAATTAAGGAAATTGCGAAGGTTTATTTTGATTTTTTTGATGCTTTTTCGTTATTTAATAAATATGGAATGGTGAGGACACACCCAGCATTTGGCAAATGACCTAGATAACAACAGCTATTAAGACTCACACAGCATGTGTGAGTCACATACACACTTGGTTTGACCCCAGCTGAGCATGTAAAGAGCAAAACACGTGTCAGCCCTCGAGTGATGGTGCCAGAGGAGGCCACTAACCCACGCGAGAGGCGCCTGTGCATGTAGGGCAACAGTGTGAACGTGGGGGTGTGATTAAAACTTCCTGGGCTTAACGAAGAGTGTTTAATTCTGACCTATAGTTTTCAGAAAAATTATATAAATCAACTTTTTTTCTTTTTTTTCCGCTCACTTTTTTTTTTTTTTTTTTCTCCCCTACAGGTATGTTTATCCTTTAATCTTCAAAGCACCTTAGTGGCAACTGGAAGCATGGATACTACAGCCAAGCTATGGGATATAGAGAAAGGAGAGGAAACAGTCACGCTAAGGGTATACTTTCCTGCTTTACAGTTTTAAGATGTTGCTTTTTTAATTTTCTGCCTGAGATAAATAACATTATGCTTTTTAACATGTGTTTCAAAACTCAAAGAAAATTTCTGTTACTAGTTGTGTTATACAGTGATTGCAATTACAAAACAGATTAAGTGATTTGAAGGGAGTAAGGTTTCTGTCGTGTTTTATAATTAATACTATTCATCAAAAAACAGATTTTTCTCATTTCAGTGGCATTACTGCTACAGGTCAGAATACCTTCTATTACCCACTAAAACATGTTGCTATACTATGTTTTATTGCCTCCTCTGCATTATCGTGAAACAACTTTGGGAATATTAATGTCAGAAGCTACATCTTTATGAGTCTTTTGTCCTGAAAAAGTAAGCAGAGGAAAGTTACCCGGCATCTAGACTATAATTTTGCTTTGCTTTGTATGACATGCCAGGATTCCACAGATTCGATGTTTTAGCCAGAGTTATTAAGTTATCTGCCTCTTAAACATTGTAAATAATGGGCAGTGAATATGCTGCTTTCTTTGACGTGTGTGACCTATAGCGTGACAGAGGCAATTCCTCCTCCTTGACTTTCTCTCCCAAAGAGCCTTAAGCAGATGAAATAGTGATGGGAGGCGGTGGACCTTCAGCTTCCTAGTATGGTCATTTCTGCACAGGCCTGCACCAAGGCCAGTGACAAGCTGCACTGTAGTTACTGTGTATGAGTCATCTGGTTTCAGAATGTGTTGGTGAACTAATATGATTCTCTTCAAAGCAGATGTGGAAAAGACTGGTCAGATTTCTCATTATCTGTCATTGCAGAATTACTCATACATGTGTTTTATTGATTAGAGCTTAAGTGAGATGCCTGAGTTTTGCAGTTGTTGGGATACCATGCCACAGTCCAGTAGACCTTTCAGTCAAAAGTGAGAAGTATTGGATAAGGAAGTAACTATTACGTTAGTGTTATCCAAGGATTCTGGAGCAATACAAATAAAGCAGCTTTGATTTCTTTAACACTACTGAAAAAGCTACCTATTAATTCTGGAAAGGTTCTTAGTTACATTCTCACACTCCTCCCTTTTTTTTAAATCTCCTCAGGGGCACTCGGCAGAAATTATTGCATTGTCTTTTAACACCACAGGAGACAGGATTATCACTGGTTCCTTTGACCATACGGTGGCAGTATGGGACGTTGGCACTGGCAGGTACTAAAGTATTAATAAATGTCCTTTTGTGTTTCATGTTTTAATGACAAATGAAAGGACAACGTAGAGCTGAGAATTACACTCCTTGAGCTTTTGCTTCTTTTTTGGGGGAAGTATTTCTTCATCTCTGATTTGTTACAACTGCTTCTTTACTTCTGAAAAGTAATCTTGCTCATGGAATGATCTTCTGTGCAGAAGGTTTAGATGTTTATTCAATTTTCTTATGAACACTGAGGAGACAGACTGAGGACTACAGAGAGCCTGTGTTGCTGCTGTAGGATTCTCCAAACAGGAAGATGTTTTATCAGTACAGAAGCTCATGGTTTGGAAAGTGTCTAGACTTTCTTATATGAAACATGTTTAAATGAAAAGGTATGTTATGTCACAGGAAATTAGTCAGATCTCTTTGTCTTGTTTTCCTTCTCACACTTCTTTGTGTCAGAATGCATTTATAAAGAAGAGAAAATTTGGCCCTCTGACTGTAGAGAACAAAATGTCTTGTTATGATGCCAAAAACCAGTAATGTAATAGCTAAATACTAGCTGGTTATATTATCCTGAAAAATCCGCTTGTTTTTTCAACTAGAATAATAAAATGGTTGCTCTGATTACTGACAAAGTAATTTATAAAGACATTCTATTAAATTTTCAGAGATGTCTTGCTTTGTGAGAGCACACAGAATATCTCTGTAATTAATATATGAAGGGAAAGTGTTATCTTGCAATAATGAACTTAATATGTATAGCTTCAAAACCAGAGTAATCATGTGATTTTAAAGTAATATTCACAGTTTATCATTTAGGGCTTGGTCTTGCAAGCTTTGAGCATATACAACTTGAACAGTTTAATGTGTGGTATAGCTAAGGACTCACTCAGCAGGCTGGGCCTTCAGATTCAGTATTGTTTAGCCTTTGCAAATGTTTGTTGGAAAATAGTGTCTCCTTTCATCTTCTCGTCTGGACCTACTGTGAAGTCAATGTCTTGGGATCTTCCTGTTTTATTCTTTTCTTCTACAAAATGACTGTGGTTTTGACATCAGGATCAAAGAGCAGGAAGTGGAATATGAGGGAGGAAGTTCTTGTTTAAACACTAGTAGTTCTGGTAGTTAGCTAGTAGCAATATAATTGTGCCCAGGTCAGCATGCAGTCTTTTAGCTGGTGGTGAGTCATGTACACATTTAGAGAAAGGCCTTTAAAAAGGCTTGTAAACAAATCATACTTTTATTTATGATTTATCTACCTATTGAGACATACATCTCTCTTCATAGCTTCAGTGAAACAAGCTGCACATATGGCTATCCAGTGACATTATGGACTGGAGCTTTAGCAGGCTGAAGATCAGACTGCCTCAAAATATGGAAATCAAAATATTTGTCATCATTTGATGTTAAGTAGTACAGTAACAGCAGCCTTCATGGCCAAATAATTAAGTTCTCTCTTGTTCCTGTTTTCTGTTTGTTGATTTTTGTTTTTACTGTAGAAAGATCTGTAGAATTACAACAGACTCATATTGTTAGAAATTAAAAGAAGTAATTTTATAAGATGGCATGAGCATAATCAAATTTTATCATAAAGAAATCAAACATTCATTTGCTCATGAGTTCTGCATTGTGGTCTGTACATTCAGTGTATGCATTTATTTAGCTCTTCTATATCTTACCCAACCAATAAAGACATTTCAGTTACTTAAATTCATTTAGTTGTTTTTCTAGTCATTACTTTTCCATTACTTAAAACGGTTTTCTATTAATGATATGGTAATATTAGAATTGTAATATCTTAAATTACTAATCCTTTAATATGTGTCTCAATCATTTTTAGATTTCATTGGTTTATAGGCCATTAATTCATAGTAAGTGCAAATGGCTGATTGTACCTCTGTGCTGCTAAAGCTGATTGAAGGATTTAATGGAAGTAGCATTGTTGGTCCTTGTGCAGCAAGAAGTTTAGCATTAATGAGGATTAGAAATCATTTTTCAGTTTTGCCCTCATTTGTGTACTTGAGTACTTGCTCAAATTAAGTACCTGATTAAGTCTCAGTTGATCTGCAGTGGATTTTATGAAAAAGATTTAGTTTAAACACTTCAGTGACACAGAATTGGAAAGATGCACTGTTTGCAATTCACTGAAATAGGATATTGGGAGGCTAATGTGGAAAAACTTGCTGTTTGTAATTTGGATGTAGATGAATCTGTTTCTGTCTCATCCAGAAATGTCCAAACTTGCTTATAAATATGTGCCTGTATCAAAATACACAGTAGAAATGTGTTTTGCTTTGTTTTTGCAGGAAGTTACATACTTTAATAGGTCACCGGGGAGAGATTAGCAGTGCCCAGTTCAACTGGGACTGCTCTCTCATCGCTACGGGCTCGATGGACAAAACGTGCATGGTAAGGAAGCACGGACAGGCCACTCAGTGTCAGATCTCTCCTCCAGAAACAAGTAATTTATTGTCAGACTTTATGTAGAATGTGGTGAATACCTTTAGTTTTTGTTACAGATCCAGAAAAACATAGTAGCTTCTTTAAAAACTTTTCTATGAATTAGGTCAGTGGTTTGCAAGGTTACCTAATACCACTGAACAAGAAGGCATGTTTTGTAATGCCATTTATGCCAAACATAGTAATTTATTGTTTTAGTGTCAGAGAAAGAAGGACTATTTTAGAGTTCATGTCATAGAATCTAACTTGGGGTAATTGCTCCTTGCTTCTTGTGGCATAGCCTTTCAAAGGAGCCTATAGGCTGCTCAGTAGCACATGTGTCTGGAGGGGTTTTGATAAGAATACCTGTGGGTTTGAGTGTTCCGTTGCAGAAGACATACATTTCCATGGCAAAAGTTTGTCTACTCTTATCTGCATGTTCTTGAAACAGAATTCAGATGGAGGTGCTCAGAATGCAAATTTGGTCTGCCAGCAGTTAGGGGAGAGCACACATTTTTAGGGCATGGATTATTTTTCCCCCTGTAGAACAGATAAAGCTATAAGATTTCCATATTCAACTCTTGAGTTTATTGTAGAAGTTGTTACCATGGGGGTGACTATTGGTTTATATTGAGATTTCACATTAGTACATCTAAACCGACTTGATAAAGGCTATAAACTTATCATATTACTTATCAGCTAGATACCTATTGAGGAAATTAGTCAAAAGAAGTCCAAGAACTACCTTTATTTTCCCAGTAGCAAATAAAGTAAATATAGATCTTGTGTTTATTTGTCTTTATGCATCTGCAGCTGTGGAATGCTAAGACTGGGACACATGTAGCAACCTTAATAGGTCACACTGATGAAATACTGGATGTCTGTTTTGATTATGCTGGCCAGCGTATTGCAACCGCCTCTGCTGATGGTAAGTGAAATTATTTGGATTGGGACCACTGTAAGGATTGCAATGGTAGTGTAAAAACAGATTTGTCCTCTTCTTTTGGTTATTTGCTTATTATTTTTTATGTATCACATTACATCACACTGTATTCACCTGCACACTGTTTTATTATTGTTATATAATGATGATACCATGTTTTTAACATACATACTTCGTGTGCTGATTCTGCACTTAAGCAACAGCGTGTCGGACTAGATGTGGGAGCCCTGCTTGGATCTGATTTGCTGTATTTCCTAAATTAAGACATAATGGAATGTAAAAAGCTTTTTGAAATACAATGACTAGCTTGTTCACTATAATTAGTAGCTTATTATAAATAGTTAATAGCTTATTATAAACAGCAAATATCTGTAAGGTAATGAAAGCTTTCTGAATATAATGTAAAAGACTTTCTGAAATTACACAGAAAATTGGTCCTTATTCAGCGTGGACTTTTTACAGATTTCAAGGCAGAGGCCATTGTGAAGTTAACCTTTTCCAAACATACTACAGATACTTTTTGATAGTCTTTTTCCTCGGGAAAAACTAGTAAGGTTGCTATATACTTCTGTTGAAATCAAACCTGAGGATGAGGTCCTTTTGGCTTTATTAAAATATTCTTAATAAAATACATGCTCCAGCAGAGGAATCCAAAAATCCATAAATGGATTTTTATCTCCTTCAACAGGGTCAGGAAGAGTTTATAATGCAGAAACAAAAAAGTGCATTACAAAGATAGAAGGACATGGAGGAGAAATTTCAAAGGTGAGTTGTAGGATTTGCTTTTCTTGTTAACTTCTGTGTGTGACATCCAGTCTACCAGTTATTTCATAACTGGTTAACGATTAAGTTTTTTTGTATCTTGATGACCTCTTAAGTCTACTGCCTTCTGAGACTTTTTCCATCACCCTCTTCCCTGTCTTTCACTAGATCTACTAATCTCTACTTTTACATTTCCCTGTGTGCCTTCTTATAGAAAGAAATACCCTCTTTCTGTGGCAAAACACATACATGAAAGCCTAAAGCCCATTTCAAAAATCACTTGATTATGAGAAATATACTCATGTTCTTCACTAAATTTCCTGTCCAGTTCAATTTTCAGTGCCAAAGTTCAGTTCCAAAGACACTTAATTATTTAAAAAATAATTAATATCAGTAATTTATTAATTAATTATTTTAAAAATAAATTTATTTAACCCGTGTTACTTTTTCTTTCAAATGATTAGTTTTCATTAGTTCTGAGGCTAGTGTGCTAAGTCCCTAGTACTTTAGTGCCCTTTGCAAATGAAATCCTAGTATTTTCAAATAAAATGGTTCTTCATAAACAGAAGAACTCTTCCTCCGTGTTGATTATAATTGCTCTAATGAGAGGATATTAAGTTCAGAAGGGCTAGTCTTTCCTCACCTAATACTTCACACTCACTGTGTGCTGAGGAATGCAGTCAATAGTTGCAGAAATGTGGGAGAGTTACAGATAGAATCCATCAGGGTCCTTAGGGCTCACATGGATTTTTGTGCTGGAAGTTAGAATTTGCTGATCTGGGAGCATTCTGAAAAGTCAGTCTATTTCTGCAGATGTGCTGCATGGCTGTGATCACTTGGGAAGGTTTTTGCATGGAAATTTGATTTCTGGGGAGTAGGCATTTTGCCCTCAGTAATTAAGCAAGATTGCATTATAGAATAAACCTAGTATTTTCTGGTTAGTCTTATAAAAATATGTGATTAACTGGAAATGTATGCACACTTGGCGAAATATGGAGGCATTCTACAATATAATTTGCCTCCAGTGGGAATTTTAATATTACAGAAACATTGTTATTTAATGTAGAACTCTGTAAAAGATGTGTGTTACAAAGGAAAAATGAAGTTTAAATAGAGTTCTTGCCATTGTGGAGCAAATATGATTTGGTGGGATCATATTCTGAAGTCCTGGCCCTCTAATGAGGTCAGTGTGGTTAACCTGTGCACACAGGCAAAGTTTGTAGCCACGGAAGTTTGCGGAGGTGTCTCTAGTGGCAGACTGCTCTTAATTTTAGCTGGAAACCAAACAAAACATCAAAACAATTGCAAGAGTTTCTGACTTCTGGTTTCATCTTTTAGTCACTAGATATGCTTCATTTTTAGGCAAACTGATATGCTAAATAATATCACTTTTTCTTTTTTAAGATATGTTTCAACCCTAAAGGTAACCGTATACTAACAGCCAGCTCTGATAAGACTGTTCGACTCTGGGATGCTGCTACAGGAAAGTGCATTCAGATATTAGAGGGTCACAACGATGAAATATTCTCCTGTGCCTTCAATTACAAAGGCAATATAATCATTACAGGTAACCAATGTTCTCCAAACTAGACTTTTTATTCATTTTTTAGAATTTTTTTTATATTTTAAATGCTACTAATCAAAAATTAATAGTGTCTGAAAGATGTCCTGGGACCACATCTCAAATGCAAGTACCAGCAGTGTCTCAAAATATAGTCAGGAAAGCTAGAAAGTCATTTTTGAAGTGAGACTGTAGTGAGTACTGTCACAGTCAAATTTGAATAGAGGCATAGGCACCTCCTGCCTCATGTAGGTCATGTAGGAGCCACAGACCAGTTCTGTTCCAAGTGTCTTAAATGCATCAGACCCTTTGTGCCTTTGGCGTTGTGCCCTGCTCAGTTTTCATTCACTTCAGTTTTAACAAAAATGACTAAGATGTAATATGGCCAAAATCTTCCCTCACAATATGTATTTATTACCAGGGAGCAAGGATAACACCTGCAGAATTTGGCGCTGACTGAAGACAAGGAAGGAGACCGTTTGGTACGTGCCTTGGCCAACATCATGAATTTCATAGTTAATAAATATTAATTTTTTTCAGATCTGTTTTCTTTTACCCTCTTTGTTAGGCTTCAGCCTTGCTGAAGTAGACACGTTACTGGTATTTTCATAGGTTTGAGTTCACTGACGTCTGCTAGATGTAGAATCATGGAATCATGTGTTTGTTTAGGTTGGAAGGGACCTGTGGAGATAATCAGCTCCAACACCTGCTACTCAAAGCTGAGTCAACTAGGCCAGGTTGCCCAGGGCTTTGTCTTCCTATCTCTTGAATAAATCCAAGGAGGGAGACTTCACAATCTCTCTGGGCAACCAACCTGCTCCAGTGTTCATTCACCCTTACAGTAGAAAAGCTTTTTCGTATGTTTAAATGAAATTTCCTATATTTCAGCTTGTGCCCTTTGCTTCTTTTCCTGTCACTAGATACCATTGAAAAGAGGCTGGCTCCATCTTCTCAGTTACCTTATTGTGAATGAATCTAGTAGGTTTGTGGAGCCCACTTGTTTTATGTGTAATGCTTTCAATAAAAAAAAATAGGATTATCAAGTGTGAAAGGAGTAGTGTTATGCATGTGCTCTGAGTGCTTTTGTATTATTTTTTGTTGCATAATAAAGGATTGTGTTAAAATGTAATGTTACTTGTTATACAATGTCCCACTTGATGTTTTGGGGGAACATTAGCAACCCTCTGTGAACTGCACTGCTACTAGCTACCACATGCAGTACTCAAACTCCCACTCCCTCCCCTTTCACACTTGTCCACAGCCTTCATTAATTTCATTTCTTTCCTTTCATTCCAAATTCCTCCATTTCTGCTTGAGGTTAAAAACAAATTAAGTGGTGACACCAACTTTGAATCTTGGCCCAAAGATTATGAAGAACCAGCACAAGCCAAAGATTTGGAAACAAGGATCATAAGGTGAACTGAGGAATAGCAGGGAACCTAGGCAAGTAATTTACCATCATAAGATGACCTCCCACCCAGGCTTATCTCTCTGCAGTAACTGTCAACAGGCTTCACCTGCACAGAGCTCTTGCTGCCTGCCAGATGAGTGTCTGGAGCTGTGGCTGCTCTTTGCAGAGGGAAGCAAAGAAGAAAAGGGAAGCAAAAAGAGCCCAAGTGCTTGGTCCTGTCAGTGAGGGGAGCGGTAAGGAGCCCAGGGCTGAGGGAGATGGGCAGTGGTTGACATGGAGGCTGAGAGAGAGAAGGAAGTGGGTGGCAGAAGTTTGAAGGTATTTGGATCGCCTATTTCTGAGTTGTTACGTATTTCTCAGTGTTCAATTTAACATGAAGTTACCGGTGCTGGGACATTCTGAGTCTGATGGCTCGTGTTGTGCATACAGGCAGGAACAAAATTGCTTCTTGTCACTTGAGAAATGTCCTGGTTGTTTGAAGTAGAGCCATCTTGTAGGAGAACTTGGCAGTGTGGATGTTAGTGTTATAATGTGTGTAGTGTTTCCTTCTCTCTTGTAAAACAACTTCTTATTTCACCAGAGCATCTTGGTAACCCTGCATGCAGTGCAGCAGGAAGAGCAACGCAGTTCTGTGTCGTTCTAGACCTGCCCAGGGCCCCTAGGTAAATTTGCACCTAAACATAGAGATGAGAGAGGCATCATTTCTGTTTAGCAAAATGGAGGAAAACAAGTATAATGAAATGTACGTAAATACTATTAAATTCTTCAAAACTAAAATTTGACCATCTATTATGAAGTAAAAAACTCTCTGGATTGCAAATAAGAGGTAGATTTTTACCTAATCTTTCTGGTTGAGAACTTTTGTCTTTGTCCTTGTGATTTTTCTCTTACATTATGCTGGTGGGGAAGTGGATCAAGCTTTTTTTTGCTCCAGCTCTTCTTGCCCTATTTTTATGGCAATTGGCAAGTGAGCTAAGGTAGGTCTCAGGCTAAGCACCAGCCTGAGAGTCAGTCTACCTGTGTCCTACCTCGGGCTTTCCTGGGACTGCCTGAGTGAATGTGCATAGATGGGCTTTTCAGTGTGTTTGGTGTGTGTTTGGTGCTGCTGAAAAGCACACGGACTTGGTGGTTCTCAAACAATTAAGCCTTGCTCTAGGTGCCATTGTGCAAATGCTTTGATGCTAGAGGCTCTGCACCTTTGTTTACCCTTGTGGTATCAATTCCCATTAGACTCCCAAGGGCAAAATTATCCCTGTGTGCTGAAACTCTGTTGTCTGGGGCCAGTTTAGTCTTCCCAAACCTCTGTGTCCCGAGCTGTTGGCACTCTGCAGCGAGCAGAGCAGTGGCTGGGCAGCTGGAGTAGGATGGGGCTCTCAACGCGGCCCTGAGGTGCCGGGACTTGATCCGCTCACCGGACAGTCACGGAGCGGCCTTGTCACCTCAGGAGACTCCTGATGTGAGCCTTGGTAGGGACTGCACTGTGCAAATCTGATCTGCTTCCCTGTGTCTCGTAGTGCAGTGAATCCTTCCATCAGTCACCTCTGCGAGTGTGCCGGTCTTTTATTTTTTCTGGGAAAGAAGCCCTCAGCTTATTGTGTCACATAGTTTCCCTAGGGTGGAACATATGTTTTACAAGCCAAGGGCAAGGCTTTCTGTGAAAGTGTGCGGTGTGAACTTGGAGTCTTGCCATAAGCTTTTGGTATCTCTTAAAATTTAAATTCTTTCCTGAATTTATTATTATTTATCTCTTTCCTGAGAATAATAATATTCACACCCATTAATATTTAAAAAGTGGCATTTAGTGAGAGCCTCATTTTTGGTTCTGAAAAGCATAGTGAAGGAATATGAAATATATCTTGCACAGTTATAGTTTCCAATTTGCTGCATTTTAGTGTCTCATTTTCAGCAGAAATTGGGAGGAGGGCACAGCCCAGATAAACCTATTTTGCTACAAATCATTTAAATTAGTTTGCTAGTGCCACTGCTTAGTTTAACTGTCTGTCCTGCTGAATGTTTTTCTGCTCCGAGCTATTTCCTGAGGGCCAGTTCCTAGCGGGGTGGCAATGGCTTCAGAGCAGCCTTGAAAAATTAAAGCTAGTGGTAGGTGTTATGAGTTTGCTCACAGTTACCTTAGGAAAGGAATGGGTTAGGCTGGAATTAAACTTCTCATACTGGCTTGTGCAGATGGGCTTCCCTTCTCGGAAGGAAGTGTTATTTATGAAGCAGCTCAGGCGGGCTGTCCATGTTGATGGCTCTGCTGACGTTGGGAACTGGGATTTGGGCTCTTGTTCCTCTGCCTGGAAACAGTGAAATCAGCCTGTCCAGAAAAGCTACCTGCAGAATTTAATAGGACAATCACAGGCAATAAATAGCTGTGTGATGCTCGTGGCCACCCGCAACGCTTTGCAGATAGCGAGGTGCTGGGCTACGCACTGCTAGGGATCTGGCGCTCTGCAGTTATCCCAGGGCTACCTCTGAGGGGCCACGGATGTGCAGTTTCTCTTTACCTCGCTGTGCTATTTGGAAGGTTGTGATGAGCCTCCTGTCCACAGAGCTGGAGCAGAGCCCTGCCCGAGGGAGCAGGGAGGGCCCCGTCACAGCGCTCTTTTTGGGAAGCAGTGGCTCTGACAGGGACTACTGCATTGGTCAAATAAATGAATCCTGTTCACGAACCTTTTCAGAAAGATTGAGAGGACACACATTATAACGTAAATTTATTTCCGAATAAATTGCAACATTAAGAACTACTGTACAGAGGAACTGCATCACACTGTTACAACTCAGTCATGATATTTGTGCTTTGTAGGATAAGGAAACATTTATTCTATCACAGCAAAAATTTGTATACCGACGGCTAACTAGATTTGGTTTGAAAATAAATACACTTTCCGATCCACTAACTCAAACAAAGCACTTTCAGTCCATAGTCCTTGGTGCTTTTTATTCCGTTTCCGCCTCGGAAGCGCTGGGTGCTCGGAGCTCCCGCTGGGGTTGGTGGGAGCTCCGGGTGCTGGGCAGCTCGAGGCGCAGGCCCAGTGATGACAGGACCGATTTAGTGGGCACAAAGAGGTGACTTCTATCTTGACAGTGAAGTGACCTTCGCTGCCTCGTTCATACTGCAGAGCAGGTGCAGGGTTAGCCACGTTACTTCATCTCCTGCGTTCGGTTCTTGATTCACTGCTGATTTGCATTTCTTAACAAATGAGTGTGAGGAAACCATGCAAGTTTAGGAAGGGGTTTGATGATAAAATTGAGAATATGGCTCTTTTTCATAAATTATTTAAAACTACTTCAAAATCTCCAAAAATACTTAGTGCAAAAGGATAATTTTTTTCAAGAAATATTACAGAAGCATATACTGTTATATGGAAAATAAAACATCTCTTAAATATTTTACTGGGAAAGGCAGGCAGATTTTCTATTAGATGGGTGTACAGAGATAAATATATTTTCAAAGAAACAGATCACAGAAGAGCTTTGATGTGATAAGTTATATTTATCTTTAAATTCAAAACCAATCTCTTTGGCAGAATCAAAAGAAAATATCCTTAAGTGCATGAAACATCATCTCAACAAGAAGGTACCATAGTTATATCTTATCAAACAGTTATACAAATGTTACAGTAACATGAACTATCATATATAACCCAAACATTTATATCCAAAATGAGCCATTATGTTTGCTGAAAGATGTTAACAATCATTTTGTTTTCTTGTAAGTTATAAAAACTAGCATTGCTAAGGTTTTATTTATGTGAACACAATTCTCTCTTCGAATATTTACCTTCTCTTGTTAACAATCTATTAAGCGGAAATTAAAATAGTATTTATTTTTCCAGTGCTTTTAACTAACACACAGTGCTTTACATAAAAGCACTTTATATAACAAATGTACCATCGTTACTCCCTCTTAGCAGACAGGGACACTGAGGCACAGAGGTGAAGGGACTTGCCCAGGGCTGCGGGGCAGGTCCATGGGGAGCAGGGATCCGAACCCCAGAGCTTTGCTGGGATCTCCCAGTTATCCTAAAGTGCACTGCCTCCAAGCGAAAAGGAATTCAGATTTCTGAAGGGTAATGCTTGAGAATCTGGATTTTACTTTCTTGACAAAGAGTGAGGAATGGGGAAGAGCTACGGCAGAGAATCACATGGAAAAAAAACATGTTTTTCACATTTTATATCACATTATATTGCCTAACTGCAAACATGTTAAGAGTTCAAAGCTTTTTACCCCTTATCAGGCTGTGGGGATCAAAAAAAAAAAAAAAAAAAGTATTTTTGTATTATTGATCTAGGGGACCTAAACCTTCCTCAGCATCCTGTAACACGTACATATTCTGATAGTTAGGCTGCTAGATACATAGTTAATACAAAGACGGTTTTTTAAACCTGTGTTTTAGCACATTATTAAGTTTTAGTTGGTTGATTTAATCCAATCATATTAGATATTAATTTAAGCCTTTACTGTATAGTTCATAATCCAAAAGGCTAAAATTCATCCCCTCCCAGTTACAGTACATCCTATAGCACAGTATGTCAAGAGAAGAGTCCCTCATGATACAAAAGATACGACACACCTTGATTTCCCTTTGCTCAGTGTATAGTTGTGGAACAGATGCGTGCTGTTTCTGTAGAGTTTGTATATCTTTGCTCATTTTACTCAGTGATATTTGGAAATCAGAGCATTACACAAACTACTGCTTATTTAAACAGTATCAAAACAAAACTGCAGAACAAGTGACTTTAGCCCAATTCGAGGAGCCAGTCGAACAGGCTCGGTGTCATCTCGCCGCCTTCCTCGCTGAGCTTGCAGTACTGCACCACGGCATGGAAAATATCCCCCACTTTCCAGGACTTCCGTTGAACAAGTTGCACAACATCTAAGAACTAAGGACAGAGAACAACATGCTTAGGTTTTGGTCAATGGTCTGTTTAGTTTAGAGCAAACTGCTCTAAGACTCTCCTTTTTAAGTGCACTGTATCATCATGCAGGGGATGCCCATCACAACAGGGGAACAGAGGGATTTCCATAGGCTCTCTCAAGACTAATCTCATGACATTTTTTAAATCAGCTGCTCTCATCAATTCTTACTTATTGCAATGAAATTATGACAAATAAAAGCAAAATTATAAATTTCCACATTATCTTCAACTCATCGTCAAAATAATAGAGCAACTATTTATTTTAAAGAAAAGCATTCCTTCTCTGTTACTTTCAGTTACGTTTCTATTATATTAAGTCCCTGTATTTCCACATCCCACAGAATTAATTAAATATTCTCACAATACTTAGCAGTATTCTGGCTAAACTTCCTGCACGTGAATATGTTGAATATGAACATGCAATTTTAGCTGAATCACAGAAAGGATCTGTATTTGCTATTTTAATTCTACCTCCATATAACAAAGGGTTAAATACATGTTCTAAAGCAGCTGGCAAAAATACTGAATTTTGTCCACTTTGAACTTAATAGTGGGCTTCACAGTGTCATGCATCTGGTCCATCTTTTTCTGAAGTTTAGCAATGAAAATCAAAGCTTTTCATTTCCTTGAATTTCACAATCAATATCTAATTAGGTTGCTGCTTCCACATTTCTAGCTTTAAACCATACAAGAAAATATTGTGTCTCTCTAGTTAGTGTAGCTGTTTGCTATTTACATACTGAAGCCTAAACTTTTAATATGTATTTTAATGATATTTAATAGGCACGCGATTTCCAAGAGCACTGTTGTAGGCAGGATGTGCTTCGTTATTCTCCAGTGTATTTTTGCAATTGAATTAACTGTTTGCCAAAGCACATGGGTAAAGCTGACAGCTGTTTCTTTAATTAGATGCAATTTGGACTGTTGCTGCTGAATGCATTTTAAATTATGTTTATGATTCCCAAATGCATGTACTCAAGAAAAATCAAACAATATCTCTGCTGCTCAAAATGATCTTCCCATAGACGTTATTTTAAAAGACCAAAATACTGATTTATAATACTTTTTCCATTAATCTACTGGAATACCATGGCACGTTCTGGAAGCCTTAAGGCCTAAGTCAGTCTTGCTGACTGTGCAAAAAAGGCAGCCTTGGTCATGCTGGAAACGTTGCAGGTGGCATTTGATGGTGCCTACAGCTGAGCACTAACTAGTCATGCTGGAATAGAAAGTGTCTGTTTTTCTTGGGGCCATTTTGGACTTCAGTGATGCTCTTGCTGCTCTGGCTTGGACTAATACTCGGGAAGGTTTCTCTGTTTGGCTTCTCTGTCTCTTCCTCTGGAAATGGCTGCTGCTTTCAGAACTGTCAGATGGCAAATGACGTCTGCCTGGGACCCGCGGCACTGGAACAAGGCACTGCTGCTCTTGTTCCTATGTAGGTGCTTGGCATATTTTCCATGGCATGAAGCAAAATATTTTGGTTAACAATTCTCATTTTCCAAGTAGGAGGTGCCTCATTGCAAAGATGGCTCACCAGAAACACACGCTGGGCAGTGCTTGTGCCAAAGCTGCCTCTGGGGCAGTGGCTGAGCAGCAAACTCCTCCTGCCAGCGTAAAGCGACTCCGCAGCCGGTGCGGCGGCCGCGGGAGGCGGATACAGGAGGAAGTGGAAGATGGATACAGGAGGAAGTGGGAGACACGCAAACATCTGAGTGTTTAAGAGCGATTTTGGAGAAACTTTTAAGTGGCGATACCTTTTTTCAGCTATGTTATTAAAAATCTTTCATGTGCTTTAAATTCTGAGGTATTTAATCCTCTCCTCTCCCTCTCAAATTAACAGTTGCATCACCATCTCCCTGTAATACAGATCGCTGTTTTTGTGTCTATTTTGAAAACTCAGTAACTTGAATACAATCACAACTACTACTATGATTTAAGTGATAGAATAGTGTGTGCAACCCTGTCGATACTACCTTTTCAATTCTGTTCTCCTGAGATTTCTTGAAATAGATGGTGGGAATCCCAAGCTCCGAGGCAGCTATCCACTGCAGCGTGGCTCGCAGCTCTGCGTCGGGCCGTGCCGGCTCCAGGTCGAAGTTGATGACCAGCAGCTCCTTCTGGCAATTGGCTGTTCCCACCGAGAGCACAGAGGTGCTTTCTGGGGCAAGGAAGTCACGGTGTAGTTACTGTGGAATTACTTGTTTGGGCTTCAAATTCTGCTCTATAAGTGATATGGTTCAACTTACCTTCTATATTTTCTGTCTGGTCTTTAAGGAAAACCTTTTCTTCTACTAATTCACTTAGAAACAAACAACAACAAAGCTTATTAGTGATACTTAGGAACAGTCTACAACATTGCTTCGTGATGGATGAACTTCTCCCTCAATGTAAGACTTTTCACCTAGAAAACTGCAAGGAAGACATTACATAGGATGAAACAGTAAAATGCTGAATATACTACAATAATTTCACCTGCAAATCAGGAAAAGCCTTGGGAATTGCGCAGTGGTGCTCCCACTAAAGGATAAACTGCTTGTACTGTATTTACTGTGCATTACACTTTATATATGCTGTATAGATAGGCAGATCCTAATAATGAGAGAACAAACAACATTGTGTGTCTTGCTGTGTCTTATCATAAGGCAGGGGGAAGTACTGAACTTTCAAGGTGTACATTTTGCAATGTTATGGTCCCTGGCTTCATCTTTTTCAGTCTTGCTTTCTAATTCTATCTCTCATGGTTAAACACAATCATAGATAGCAATGATTTCGACTACTGCTGATTTTAAATATACTAGCTGTTTGGAAAAATACATTCTGTTTATACCTTGCAAAAATTTCAGCAGATCCTATGTACTACCCTTCCTCCTGCTGAACTCTAAACAAACTCCAGATATAAAATCACTGCTTTATCTTCCCTTTCTGAAGACTATAACCCCACTCATGCACATGTAGCAGAAGACTGCAAAGTGGTGGTGAGGACACAAATGATGACGCTTGTTTCACTGCTCCTGCAAATACACACTTGCAGACTGTCCCATTCTGCCCTCAATCAAGGGGACGACTACAAGCGCCATATTATATTTTTAATATGGTAGGGCGCTGTTCTTACCACACTCTTCCACAGGATTTCAGAATGTCTCCCAAGATTTGGAAGGACCAAGCCTATAAATATTTCCATAGGGGCTGCTGCCAGATGTGAGAGGAAAGAAGGAAACGCAGCATGCCGTGCGTGGCGTGTCATGACTTAGAACCCTGGGTGCTTAAAAACATCCTATGCATCCGATTTTCCTGTTTGCACTGCCTAAGTATTCTCTCCCTTGACTTTGATTTGTGAAGGCACAAGCAGCACTTAGAGGTGTTCTTGCCTTCCACAACATCTGTCCTTTCAGCAATTCCAGGCCCTTAGCTGTCACCACAGGGTGTCCGTTGGTTGTGCACTAGGAATCAACACCTCAGCCCTTTCGTCTTTGGAAATCTCAGGAGCAGTGGTCATCTTCAGGAATGCACGTAGGAGCTAGCACAGCCTACTGCGAAGACCAGGATGTTTTAGCAAGTGTAGGGCCCTAATGAACAGCTGGAAGAATGCATGTCCCTCTAGAGAAATATAGATGGCCACATTGCTTATAAACAGGAGCTTTTGGAAAGCAGGGTGGCTTGTTGTTAGTGCAGTCCGGTGTGCAGGTTTTCTGCAGTCACTGCCTTCCCAAGGCTCTGCCCCTATGCGTGAGGTTCGGTGCACACCGCCGCGGCCGTGCCCCGAGCGCCGCGGGTGCAGTGCCGCGGGTGCAGCGCCGCGTGGCAGCGGGCAGGTTGTATCTACCGTGTTGCAGGGTACCAGAATCCTGAGGCAGGTCCTTGCACCTCTCTTGATAGTTTTATTGCTATTGAGCAGGCTTGGTAGAAGCCTGCCCAGAAAAGGCAGATAAGGAGCACCTTGGGCTGAATTATCCCTCTTGAAAAAAATGTTATCATTTTTCTTCTCCTTTTAGCTTAAACTAATTGATCTTTCTTTGCTTGCTCTTACTTGGTATTAGTACAGTTTTGGTGACATTTGAAATGGTTTAAATCGTTTAGACAAAAAACAAAAACTCGCAAAGTGACAAATGGATAGCTCAATAAACTGTCTTTTAGACAAGGCAGTTGCTGGATCCATATTCTCTTGAGAGGTCCACCTGGGTGGGCCTCCCCATAGTCCTGCACTCTGCAGTGCTGTCATTCTGCACAGAGACGCCGGCATGTGGATTTATTTTTCTGAAAGTGATGGCAGGCTAAGCAGCAGGTGCAAAGCAGGGCTTGGCACATTTTAGATGGCATAAATGGTTGGCAGTTAAAATTAGATTAAACATCAAATCTCACTTCAGCGACTACTTACTTAATCACAGGAGAAGGTGGCACGTTCTCCTGATAAATTTCCAGGTCCATAATGCCAAGACTGCTAGTTGTACTGCTGTTGCCATTGCTGACAAAGCAAAAGTTTAAATATTAGTGCCAAGCTGCACCCAACATGTCTCCGTACATATTTTCTTATCTATGCACAAAGCAAGATGATGGGGGTGCCCCCCAAGGCTGCAGAGTCCCACAGAAGCAACTGTGCTCAACAAGTGGCAACCAACTAATCTGTGCAAAATAATTAGGCTTTTCTTAAAATAACTGTAGATGGATCATGTATCAAGTGAGGCTGTGAACTGAAAATAAACGTTGGACTATCTTTTAGTGAACAGTTTATTCAGTGAACATATGGCCTCCAGCAGAGAAATAATCTGCGTGAGTCCTTGGAAAGACAAACTGTCAGGCATAGAGATGTCCTGAAAAAACCTGCAGAGATTCAGATACCTCTGAACGTGGTAAATCACAGCAAGGCATTGGATTGCCCGTCATGTCCTTACCTGTGGGGTTACTCGTGCCCGTAAGCAGGAAGAGTTTCACCAGATGGCATCATACCCCAAATACCATCTGAGAGCTGATGGAACCTGGGGGTATGGGGTAGTCCCTGACCTTTCTGCTACTCTGAAACACTGAGACTTCCTTTTTTTCTTTTTTTTTTGTGATGACTCATAGGGATTAGTATTCTGCAGAAGTATTCTTTCTGGATACGTCATAAAAATGAAGTGTTGCATCTAATAATATTTGGGAAGAGCAGTAGTAGCTCACTGTGTAACAGCGCTCTAAACTAGCTGGTGAATGTTTATGTGGATTTCATAACAGTCTGATAAACAGGTTGTGAATTTCCTAGCTACAAGTCGATTAACACTAACAAATTCTTTGCGGTAATTAAATTCAAACCATTTATTTTTTACTAAAAAAAGCAATTAATAGTATTTTTTCCTGACATCAGAGGCATTGACTAGACAGTTTCTTCATTGGGCTTTTCTGAGGCAGCATCAGCAGGCGATGCACTCAGACTTGCTCTATCAACTTCTGTTTCAATGCACAGCCAAAAGGCACAGACTGATGCGCCACAGAAAGGGATGACCATTTACCCACAGGGGCAGACAAGTTTATTTCACCATTTTTAAAAATAGCCAGAGGTCTCTGATATGCAGAGCCTCTTTCCTTTCTCTCCTTCATTAACTCACTTCTTCCCTCTTTGTCTTCAGAATAGCCAAGAGAGTGACATAATTAATTGGCTACATTTTAAAAAAATATTATAAGGGCACATAAAAAAAAATCTGGCTCAATGTGAAGTTGAGAGAGGGCTGAGGTCAAACTAACATGACTTTATATAAGCTCTAAGGACTCAGATGGCATCTTTAACTGCAGAGGCTGACTAGAGTCTCATTCAAGGAAATGCCACAGTAAGTGTCATGCAAGTGGTAACAAATAAAGTGAATTTCAGACTGACTGATTAGTATCATGTATTGAGCGCAGAGAGAACGTGGGTACCTCAGGGACCTCTCGCTGAGCTGCAGGTAGCTGCTGGTGTCGTCAGGGTTGTCCTCGTCGTTGGCTAGCTGGGACCAGCTGCCTGTGCTCTCCTCACTGCTGCTCTGCTGGTTTGGAAGTTCTTCTGCTGGTTTTGTCTCTGCTGTGAGCTCAGCCTCTGGTCTGCTCTGGGGACTGCTGCTGGTGGGGGGATAAGGAAGGCACAGTGGTAGAATAAATAAAATACATAGACAAATAACTAGTACCACTAATTCAGGAAACGCTGCTCATTATGGTCAAGGATGCTACAGAATTAAGACAGTTGTGAGAGACTGGATAATTCCTACACAAAGTCCAGCTGAATTTATGGTCTGGGATACCTTTTAAAAAGAGCTGGTTTATGGTTGCTGTAAAGCCAAAACAAAATTAGGCTTCCAATGAAATATACATAGAACAGGTTTAACTTGTACAAGGCGATTTTGTATGTGCAAAACGCACTGCTCATAGGGCCTGATCCTTGAGGACACTGAGTTTGCTCCAGGGTTGCAATGGCTGGTGTCCCCTGGTGCCGCCCAGAGCACTTCTTGTAGCTGTGCTTGGCTTTGGTTCGGCTTCGGCTGCGTAACCTGCTGCCTGCCAAGGCCCCTCCTCGCTTTTGGGCACCTTTTATTTCTATTTGACCACTCATTAGAATTAGGCATGTTCCTAATGTGATCATTAATTAGGTGTGCTATAATATACCTAATATTTGCATGTACATGAACACTTTCTCCATTTTCTAAGTAAGGGGGGCTAATAAAGGATAATGTCTGAAACATTCATTACCCCTTGCCCAGCTCTTGTAAGGCCAGCAATAATCCTGAGCACTTGCAGAGTTCTGCGCAGCGGGGACTGCTCGGGCCCTGCAGCCCTGCTCACACACACAAAACACCTCTTTTCTCTGTGCAGACCCTCTCCCCAGGCCTGTGCAGCTTTGGTTTTTGTTAATGAGCGTGTGCCCACCTGCTGTTTGGCCTGGAGTCCTGTCCGCTTCTGTCTACATCAGCAAATAATTTCATGTGGTAGAAATGGGTCAGTAGATCAAAGCAGTGGGGGCTGGTGCTTATGTTACATGTGTTTTGGGGGGTTTATTGTATCCCAGGCTCGGCCCGTACTCGCCGTGGTTCAAACTGGCAGGAGAAGAGAGTGGGACGTGGCCGTCCCGTGGGAGCGAGAGGCCGCTGGGCGCCGGCCCGTGGTGCAGCCGCTGCCTTGTGAGCTCTGGGGTAGCTGCCTTGTGCTCTGCCTCGGTTCTGCCTCGGCTCTGCCTCGCGCTCTGCCGCCAGAGTCGCAGAGAGCGGCCCCTGGAAATGGGGACGAGCTGCTTCCGAGCCACCCTGCGGCACCAAACCAAACTGCGAAGGCAACTCCTGCCTCAGGCTGCCCATTCTCATCTACCAATACTTTAAAATTGCAAAAGCCATTTCAGGAACTCTGCATCAAAGGCAGAGGAGAAGCTGTTATTGAAAGGGTCATAAGCTGTGCAGAAAATAACTTTATTTTCAAACAGTCAGGCTTATGAATAGGCAGATTTCTAAATGTATCTTATTAAAAGCAGGTTGCCTGTGAAGGAAGAGGAAGGTTAGGGGCGATAGTCAGCGTGAAATAAGAGACACTGTGCTGATTATCCACCTAATTACCGCCCTACGCAGGGAAGTGCATGCTCTCACACTTCAAGCAGAGCAGTGGCAGGAGCCAAAACACAGCACTGCACAGAATAAAAGAGGCTCCAGAACAGTTTCTAACGCCGGCACCTGCAATCTTGCCAGCTCTCCAGGTAATGGGGCGCTGCAATGTTCCCACAGACCGGCAGTTTAGACACCATTAGAGTAACAGATACGATTAAGAAGCACAGTTAAAAATAGGCAATGCCTTGAAGGAGATTACTGCTCTTAACATCCATAGCAATGCTGTTCATTTGCAATCCACTGTAATAGAGCAGGGCTTTCATTTTCTTGAACCAAAATCAGCTGCAGCTTATTCAACAAAAGAAGCAACTATGAGGAGAGAGGGGTAGGCTATGGTATAAGCTCCATGAAATTCAACTTTATTCTTTATTTTATCTAAATTTTACTAGAGCAGTCTTGAACTGAAGGAGGTGAGGAGTATTTTTAATAAAAAATCTTTAGTAGAAAAACGTATTTGTTGTTCCACACTGTAAACACGAAGTGGAACTTCAAGCTGTAAGTAGCCTTTTCTGCTTTGCTGGTATATAAATACATGAACAAGCAGAGTAGAGAACTAAAGGTCAAATGGCAGGAAAGGAGAAGGAACAACAGGTTATTTTTCTTTTTACATTTTTTTTAATTGAGAAGAGAGTAGCTAGTTGCATCCATGAATGCCTATAGATGACGGCTGGCAGAACCAGCACTAATTTTTCCAAGGCAATGTGGCTGCAAGTGAGTTTATGAGATTTTTTCCAATGCACAGCTTCCTCAGTAGGATTTGGAGACATCTAGTAATCTGAAAAGCCGTGGATGTACATGGTGCCATCTATGAGAGTTTGGAAAGCAGGACATGTGAGGCTAGAAAGTTTTGTCAGTCTTTGTCAGTCTCTCCTATCTTGACTAAAGAGAACAAACATCTTTCAGGTAAAATTTACTCATCTGTGCAATATTAGACTGTGATCTCAGAACCATAGTATTGGCATGTTCAATGCAAGTCTGAAATCAGTACATGACTTGGTGATTTTATGCTATAAGGAAGCTGTAATAAAACCTTGATTATTTCTTGAGAAGCGGTTAATTCCTTATCTTCTTCCTGCATCAAGTCGTATTTACTGGGAAGTTAAAACAAGCAAACTAAGACAATGTGCTGATTCTGAGGTTTTTTTTGATCGCTTACCTATTTAGTAGGGAACTGGAAACCATCTGCTTCCCAGCATATTCTTCTGGAGGCTTTTCTTTGCCTAGATGCTCCTTTTCAGAAGGTTCACATGCAGTTAAGGACTCTTCTGGCTCATCTCGTTGATCAGTTTCTATCTGAATTAAGGGCACTTCCCTGTGCTGACTGGCAGGGAGGGATCCAGCATTCTCAAATCCTTTCTTCTCATCTGAACCTACTCGCTCCCCTTTGGGTTTTGACCGCATCTCATGCTTGCTTTCTGGCATGTGTTCTCGGCTTGTATAATCGAAAGAATCCTGCTGGACAACAACAAAATTTTTACCACTTTCCACAATATTTGCAGCCAGTCTGTTTGCATACCGTTCCACGTGCTGTGGAGAATCGCTGTGAAGCTGATCTGCCTCTGCAGCCTCTGCCTCATCTGCTATAATTTTGTTTTTGCGCATTAGTGATTCAATAGAGCTGGCCCATGTCTCATGAATCAGCATGTCTGTTATCTGGTCAGTCTTGCATCTTTGGTACAGGCAGGAGTCAGATTTGCAGAGACCTGAGGAAGCCACGGTGCTCACGGGCTGCACGCTTAAGGAATCCTGGTGATGACGGGCAAATCCGTCCAGCGAGTTGGCTTTAACGGGGGTATTCACTGTTAGTCTGGAGCCCGATGACCTGCCGTCAGGCATGGAGGACTGTCTGAAACAGAAAGGTGTTCGCAGGGAGGGGGGCAGCAAACTCTCACACCACTCCTTTGAACTCCGAGGGGAAGATGCATTATCTTTGTTTTCCTTTTCTATTTCTCTTAGCATATACCTATAAAACTCTTCTGTTATGCTTTCTGTGCTGGACTGTTTGGATGGGCAGCTTGGTTTTACATTAAGATGACCATTCTTCTTGGCTACCTGTTGCAAAGCAGAAGATAGGATGCTGTTTGCGTTCTTTCCTGCATAATAATCCAGTAACAAATCAAAGCCTCTTCCTTCATTTTCCATCTGGTTCACCATAAATCTTGAGAATTCATCTGTAATGCTTTCACAGCTTGACTGCTTGGAGACTGAACTTGTCTGGCTCACGGGCTGACCTAAGGCGTTCATCAGGCCGAGGGTGCGGAGGGAGCCTTTGGAATCGGCGTCCTCCTCGGGAATGCTCTCGCAGCTCGATGCCTTGCCTCGGCTCCACCTTTCACAGTGCAGCCTGTTCCGGGCATGGTTCGGACCTTGCCAGATGCTGTCAACCACAGAGAGCTCAGTGAGGTTCATAATCTTAGCAGCCACTTCATTTGCAAAGATGCTGACAGAATCTGGTGTGTCCTCAAGGTTTATAGACTCGTCCACTACCCGATTCATCAGTCGTTCTTTCAGCTCTGGATGCTCATCTGTTTTCCTTTTGATCTCGCTAAGTCTGGGTGCCCTGTGCTTCCGGACCACAGAGCTGTTAGTCTGAGTTTCCTTTTTCCTCTTTATGGTTCGGCATGATAAACTCTGGGTGACCAGGTATTCATTGCCCCTTTTCCAAGCACAGAACCAGGGCTGCTTTCCATTGGAGTTCTCAAGACAAATGGCAGCTATTTCTGTTGCCATAGAGACGACCGTTTCTGCCAGTTCTTCTGCAAAATCTGTTATACAATATTTGTCCCTTGAATGTTTTACCTGTAGCACAGGCTGAGAAGGGAGCAAGACGTGGTTTCCTAGTACAGACAAGCTAACTGGGACATCATTATTATCACACTTATGCTTGGCCTGGTTCTCTGCATTCACAGTGGCATCAGAAGACAGTCGTTCTTGGACACCGTGCTTGCCTTCATTGTCTGTAAAGGCATCTCCTCCATCTGAAAATGACGTGTAGTCTTGCTTCTTTTGACTGTTACTCTGACTGGGAGATTTGTAACACTCTCGTGCAGTTCTCTTCAAATATCTCTTCTTGGGAGATGTTTTTGCAACAAGTGCACTAGGCCCAGTCACTCTACTTGTTGGTGCTGAATGCAGTGGGACACCTTCACAGCTACCTACATCTGCCACGTTACTTTTCCCAGGGCTTGTGACATTCCCAAGGTCACTGCTAGCACTAGTGCTGTATGAGGTGTGCAGGGGCACGCTAGCAGAGTGATCAGGGGGTCCGTGCAGTGTTTCATGTGGTGTGGCCTGCGTCGGCCAACCTTCTGCTATGGTTCCTTTCTCAGCTTTTGTGCCCTCAGAAAAGAGAGGAGAACACTCATCAGCATGTCTTATATCATTCATCTTCTTGTAAGTGAAATATATCACGTTAAAAAGCAACTCATTTGCAGTCTCCATGAAAATGTCTTGTGTACTTGAGCTGTATTCTGAATGGGGGTGTAGCTGTTTCTTCTTCCTAACCTCTTCAACAGAATGTCGTAGAATAATGTTGGATAGGTTTTGTGCTAGTTCATCCCTGATTACCTCCTCAGAGCGTGGAATCCGTGGTCTTGCCGCTGTTTCAATGATTCTCCCATTCATAGACTCCATAAAATGCCCTACGTTTTTGTAGGTACTGGGCTTTGTTAAAATTATTGACGCCTCTTTGAGAAGAGTCTCTGCAATGCTATCGTTCAGCTTCTCCATGCTGCTCCCTATGGCTATGCTACAATGAAGAGTAATAGCTGTAGAAGTCTGAGCAGCAGACAGGAGCCCACTTGAAGCTGCAGGGTACTTATCCTCCTTTGTTTCGCCCAGACCACAGACTGCTACAGCGCTTGCTACTTGAGTCATGCCACACAGTGCAGATGGGAATGAATATTCTGTGCCAGCACAGTCATCAAGGAGCTGTGAAGATGCTGTCTGTAGCACTTCATTATCAACTGCTCTGCTTTTGGAGTCTGTGGCTTCTTGATCTCTTCTGAATTTCTCTGCAGCTTGGGGACTTGAAATGGTTCCAATAACTGTGGCTGCACAGGCCAGGGCCACTTCCAAGGCGCTCTGAGTGTGCCTGTCTGCATATTCCTCCTCGCAGGAATCTGAAACTTCCGCAGAACTTTCTGATTCAGCCCAGTGGTACAGATTTGGGAATGCCGATCCCGGCCATTCAGAGACACCCTCAGAGCTATCTGGGCTTTGCACTATGACAATCTTGGGAAGTTCATTCCACGATCGGGAAGCAGTCGTATCTTCTGCTTTACAGGAGCTTCCTATGGAGATGCTAACGGCAGCCTCATCAGTAAAAGTGGGTTGAGACTGTGACAGTCTAATAAATGCATCTTGCAGAACAGATTCTGCTAAATTTGTGGCATACTGACCTGTCATTGCTTGCTCATTTTGCAAGGGAGGATCAGCTTTCCTAATGCCTGCAGAATTTTCCACATCCGTCTTACCGTCCTGTTGTGCTGTAGGGTCATGCAGAGGCCCCGGCCCCTCTTTAGCCATTGCAGTTACAGATACATCTTCAAACACAGGTGCGGAGCAGGAATTTCCAAAATTGTCAGTCAAATTATTAGTATGGAGGGATGATGTAGCTCTTTCAGCTAATTCCTTCTGCCAGAGTATTTCCTGGGCTGGCTTATCTTCAAGTTGTACGTTGCTGTCCGCAGCCACGACACTCACAGCTTCCGAGACTCTGGTACCTGTGTTATCTTTATTAACACAGTTTCCATCAAGAATAGATGGCAACTTGGCTTTTCTGTAGTGGAGATTTTCAAGTCCCTTTCCTTTATTCTTTTTGAGATCTGAAGAAAGTTCAGGAGCACTTAATTTTTCATGACCTATTAAAAGAAAAAAGAAGAGAGTTGTCTTTGCAAAGCATCCTGTAATTTTGAGAAGAAAATGGCTGCATAACTGTATATCTCTGTAAAACTACTACGCAGCCATGTATCCTTGTCTCTGAGCAACAATTTCAACATGAGAATGATTTTACATTTCCTAAATTACAATGAAATATTTGCATGCATTAAAATCAAATGCAATTTATGTGAGCCCTGCCATGCTTGTTTTGCAATATGAACAATAGCAGAATTACACTCAGTCTCGTTGCTTTTACCAGCTTTATATTCATCAGCCTCATTTTCATCTTCGAGGTGCTCAGATGCTGTGAGAAAATCTTCTTCTATTGAGGACACTGAACAGTTTGTATCATCCTCGGGCTTTAAGACATTAGCTTCTATCTGCAGCTGTCTCTCCTGAACAAGCTCAAGTCCAATCAGAAACTTGTTTATTTCAAAGATGATGCAGCTTGTGCTGTTTTTCCTGTCCCCCCGTGCACACTGAACCAAGCAGACATCTGCCAGCCAAGGACACTAGAGGGGAAAAGAATCTCAGAGTTATTTAATTAAAAAAAAAACTTATTTTAAGCCTCCCTCTCTATAAATACCTCACGAATGTTCTATTGCAGACATGCAATACAGATTGTCATTGAGCTGTTTGTAACACGGTGTGCAGGATATGCTGAAACAGGACCACTTGGAATGACATCTTCTGGTATACAAGCATTTTGGTAGAGAAGTCTGTTGTATCCCAAGGGCATCTCTATTTTGTTAAGGTCATCAAGTTGTTTTTTATTAACTTGTTTAAATGACAGAGCCTTATTTGCCTTCAGCTGTGTCATGTTTAGATACCTGACATCCTGTTGTTAAAGCCCTTGCACCATCCGGTGCTACTTACACATTGAGGGAATAGTTTGTGGGCCTGAACCCTTTTTGAGATAATTACTGCTACAAGGCCTGATTGAAGGCAGCCTTATAAATAGTGGTTGTTGAGATGGTTGAGAACAGGTCACCTTGAATTGTTCTTAGAGACCGTTTTAAAATACTTTATTTAAAAAACCCTCTATTGTGCAAAGCCCCATCATTCCAGACAAGTATAACTCCCAATTGAAATGGAGGTTCTGTGCATGGTTTGCATCAAAATCATCTTGGCCACAGAACTGGAACAGTAAAGCTGAAGTCTGGACAGAAACAGAAAGAAAGGAGTTCCTGCCCTCATTTTGCAGATATTAAAGCCATGGGGTGTTTATACAGCCCTAGAGATAAGTCAGTATCCCTGCATGGGCTACACTTGGGGATGCGCTAAGGCAAAGCTCTGCAGTGAGGGATGCTCCTGACAAATTAAACCCTCTGACATGCCAAGAAGACACACAGGGACAAACACATCACGAGCCCATAAACCTCACCCAGGCCCTACACAGAAGCACCACCTATTGTGCAAGAGGGCAGTCTGGGTTTGTTCTCATTGTGTCACATCTGTCACATCTGTCTGTGACAGCTGCAGGTCGTAACGGCTGCAGCCTCGAAGCTGCTCAGTTTGTACCACAGTGGCGTCCAGGCATCTCCCCGGCATCTCCCACTGCAGTTTTGCATATTATTTTTTTAAATCTTTCTAAATGAAGCCATTAGTCACAAGTGACAAGCAAGCTCAATAACAGGCAGTTTCTCCCTTTAAAGAATATCACATTGGTATAGCATAAAATTCAATGATCTTTGCCATACAGCTGTTATGGAGTTTATTTCATGAAGATTTACATGCAGGAGTTCAATTATGTGGAAAGATGTTTCCTGCAGCAGATGGAACTGGAGATACCTATTCATGTTTTTTAGCTTGCTATGAATGTCGTGTTTTCACTCCAGAGCCCCTCTGCAGTTTTAATGAAGTTGTTGCAAATTCATGCCTGGATTAAGATCATAATCAGAATTAAAATACTAGGAATATTCATTCTATCTTCAATACATAGACATGAACAGAAAGGAATAAAAACAAGGAGAAAAAGAAAGAGGTTTTTGTTATAAGTAGTTAAGCTTCTGCAAGTTGTGCCTTTTAAGCAACTGGTTTAATTTATTTCCTTTCTCTATGTGACCCAGTAGCAGGAATTCCTGGCCTGCAAATCACAGGTGTGAAATATCTCATATGCAGGAACAAAAGCGAAAGGGTTGGCATGAGAAATCTGCCTTTAAATTCTTTAAATGTTAGTTTTAATTAAAGTATTAATTGCATAAAGTTGCACAGAAGCTAAATGAGGTATCAGGTCTCATCTGGTTAATATATCTTAGTATGTTGCATTGGCATGTTCAGACTTAAGGTAGCGTCCAGGATCTTCAAGCTGTGTTGTCAGCTCTTTGCTGAGGGGTTCGTGTAGGAGATGGATTGGAAAGGAAAGTGGGAAGTAGCAAGACCTTACTGAAAAGATTCTGTAGGAGCTGCACCCAGATCCAGTCCTGCATATATAAAAAGTCTTACATCTTTCCTCCTGGCCCATCTGTGCTGTCCTTCTGACTCCTGCTATTCTTGAAATCTGGGTTTATGAGTCATCCATGCCACCAATGTGGCCCTCCCTGGAGGAGCAGCCGCTAACGTGGCTTAAAGCAGTATCAGGTGCCAGCCAGATGCCCGCAGGAGAACCTCACTGCTATCTTTGCTCCTCCTCCTGCTTAATTTAGACCTTTCATAGACAGCTACACTAATTATTTTTGTGTGTTTGCAAACACCCTGCAGTTCTTAAACTAGTATACAGTCTTTGCCTTCAGCTTCTCTTTTTTTTCAGTTTGTAAGTTCCTTCCTTCACAGCTGTCACATGGTCTTAAAGATAAGCATATAGCTCCTACCTGCGGAACTTCATAATCAGCCTGAACATTTCCTGATGTTAATCCACTCAGCAGGACTATTTCGTTTTCCTTTGGTGGCTGTACATTCATGGAGCTGATAAGTTTGGGGAGATTTGGAGAGACGCTGATCAATCTCTGCAGAACGGAACATAGGTTTTGTTGTCAGGTAACGATCTCTAAGTGGCACAGGTGTATTCATGAATATTACAGAACAAGAGTTATAGGCATTACTTTAAAAAGTTTACTTAAACTTACTACCTTGAATCTATCAAAATGTGGCAGTACTAAAATAAATGTTCTTTCTGGAAATCGTATGAGCGCAGATGAAATATCCATTTCTCAGACGCTCCACTGGGTGCTTTCCTGTCCTTTTACCTCCAATGCCACCTCCACTCTCTATGAGCTGTGTGTTGCTGCAGCCAAAACGCAGACTGCAGTAACCTCGGTGGTCTCAGCACCCCCGGGTGCTTGTGCTGCGATGCTGAGCCAGGCCACAGCTGTGCTGAACAGTGCACCAAGGGACAAGACCTGCTCGAGGAGCGATCCCAATTCCTTCCTGCCAAGGAGCTCACGTGCTTTACAAACAGGGAATCAAGGATTTAGGGAATCAAGTGCCTTCACAAAGGGACTAAAACCACCTCCATCCATGAACACACATGAATGCAGTGCATCAAGTGGCAGCCACTTAGGGAATGCGCCAACCCTTCGCTTCAGCTACTGAGCAGTCAGGGATGCTTCATGTTTGCCTTTTCATCTTCAAAGGGATAAGCTTGCAGGACTGCTATTTTTCCTCAGAGTGAATTAAATTCAATACAATAAAACTTTCTGGCTTTGCAAATTTAATTCAATGCTAGGGAAGAATTCACTTCTCAGAAGACTGATCTTCAGCTGAGGCTAAGTATTTATACTTGACATAACTAAATTCAGTGCTTCAATTCAGTTTGACATTTTAATATAGCACAAAAAACTTCTCATCCTTTTCTTTTTTTAAATTATAACCTTTCTGTTATCATACACATTTCTCTACTTATCTCTATTTTCTACTGCCTAAATTGCTACATTTTATCAGATTTCTTAGGTAGGAAATCATGACATTTAGTGTATCTTTTACTTCACTCCCTTCCCTTGTTCGGAATTTAAAAGAAGTGTAGAAAGACAATTCTTCAACACTTAAAAAACAATTTAACCCATTCCAAGGTCCAATGGTAATGTGAAAGCCAAACAGCGCATAACTATACTTATCACTAAAATGCTATACATTTAATCTGAGCAATGGCTGTACTAAAACACTTAAATTCCTTTTATGAAATTCTTTCCTGATGTTGGTGTGTTATATAAAATTGACCTTGCTCGCAGCTGATATGCACACATTGTATATTGTACATTACAGATAAAACCTGTGATGGGGCAGCTTTCCTCTTAGAGAGAAGGAAGAATGCACAGTACCTTTACCAACCGAGAGTATTTTATTCTGTACACTGAAAACCAAGGGAAAAACCCCATCCTCTGGTCATGCCTAACGAGGGTGTTGGCTCTGCACCAGAAACGGGGTTTCTAAAAGGAGGCCAAACGTTGGAGCAGAGCGCGTCAGCGCTGCGGGACCGGCAGCTCCGAAACCTGCAGCCCCTTTCAAAGGTGCTTTGAGCCTGGGAGGCACCGATCTAATTTCCACATATTATAAAGAGGAGCTGCGTAAGACTAGTTTAACTTGGCTTTTACACGGATACTTAGTGTTAACCTATGAATACGAAGCCTTTGATGTTTCCTCAATCCTTAGGCCTTGCTGTAGCTTTTGATCCTTAATAAAAAAGCAGTGCAGCACTGTAAGCAATAAAGCCATTTCTTTGTTGTTTGAAAACAACCCGTGCGTCTGAGGATTCAGTGAAGTTAAACCTTTCAATCCATTCTGCACAGTCAAGCCTCTGATTCAAAAGAAAAATCATTTGTTGCAAAAAGCTGTAATTATTTTTGATATCTGAATTTTCACAGATCCAAGATGTAGAAAGCGGCCCATAAAAGCAGCTCCTGCTAATTAATGACTTCCAGGAGGCAAACAGGTCCCAACATTGGCTGTTTTGCCATGAATTAAGAATGGTTTCAGCAAATTATCCTTGATGTTTGACGGAGGAACTCCCTGCCTGGTGTCGGGAGATCTCACCTCTGCTTACATGTTATCTACTGCTCCTGGCAGCTACACGCCGGCTGTAAGCGCCAAGCCAGGATGATGGAAAAGGAAGCAATAAAGAAAAGTGTAAGTTCAGAACTGATACTGGGCATACGATTAATATAGGGTTTCTGGCTCAGATCTGAGGATTTTTTTTGAAAGGTACGTATTTTAAATTTATTTTACTGTTTGTACATCTAAAAAAAAAAAATCCCCTTTTCTTTCCCTTCAAACTTTCACTTAAACAGGTGAATCACATCTTTAGTTCTGGTTTCTCTGGTCTCTTCCCCTGATCACAAACTCAAACCACCTGGAGCTTGACTCACGAAGACCAGCCAGCTGAGTAAGATTTAAATGGGCAGAACAGAGTTGATGGCTTTTTGGCAGTAGGAAGGAGAGACCTCAGAGATTTTTATTTATTTATTTTTAAATGTAGTGCTATGTTCAATTAGACAGTTGGATATATGATCCATCTTTGTTTGCATCTCCAATGAAACTGAGACTAAGCAAGAAGTCTACTTCTGAGAATTCAGACTGCAGTTTTCTGGTAAGTGTGTCTGGGCTCGGAATAAAAAAAGCTATAAATTATGAATTGCTGTTTAGTTAAACTCAAATTCCAAATTCATTGTTCTCTGTAAGAGTTAAAATCTAAAGTTGTTTTTGATTTGTTCTGCATTATAGTCCATAAAACTTGGCACTGGCTTTATATGAGAAAATCTACATGCACTTGAACATACCTATTGTATATGTTATCAAGAAACAAGCCATTACCTGTTTCACTTGCTCGTCACTGCAGTCATCTCTGTTTGCATCTAAATTCACAAAACAAACCTGCAATAAGAAAAGAAACAGTAGCTTACACAGTCATAACAGAGCAGGAGCAATCCTGTTAAAGTCAATAGAAATTTTTATTCTTACAGCTGAAACTGTGAAACTTTTTTCAAATACTGGAGCTGTAGAAAGGCTGGCAAAGAGAGATTGACTGCGTAGATATTAAGCAGGGAGAAATAAAGGTACAGAAATAAGAGCTATGGCTCTGTCTGCTCTGCCAATTAAATTGTGATGAATGGCCAAATGTCAGTAAACTGTAATACAACAAAGATGAGAGAAGATGGAGGAGATATTAAAAATGCATTTCATCATATACTGGATAAGTTCTTTATGTCTTGCTCTTCCAATGAATGCCTCTTTTCAGATGCTTGGTGCTATAAGCTTTGTAAGTGCATGGGTTGGTGTATGTGACACTTCAGTTGCTTCTGGAATTGTCTCTGTGCCCTGGAACCACTGTAGCATTTTTCTTAGCCTGAGTCAAAGGCTCTTGAGCTGACACCTGGGGCAGGATTGTGCATGAAGTACTTGAAGCTCAATAGGACTTGAATAAAACAGAGTGAACTTAGGTATTTTCCTGACAATGCTTAGGTGTTTTCTTGAGAGTGAAGCTTAAATTTTCAATTTGAGATCAAAAGGTTTCAAGTGTTTTCAGATTGTTCTTCTTTTTCACTAAGACTGGTGTTTGTAAACCTGGTGATCGTCTTCCTTTGCACACCTTGCCTGTTTTGCTTAGAGTTATAATGTAATAGACACAGTATTGCACAAACTAGCTTTATGTTTTCATTTATTGGAGAAAGAAGAAAAATGGAAACTACTGGAAAAGGCAGAGTTTGAGTTTGTGGGTTTTTTTTTTCAAGTTGATTCATGACCCAACACGTGAGTACAAATTTTCAGCAGTCCTAACCAGGCGATGAAGCTGCAGAGACGGCACAAGAGTTAACTATCTAGTAAAATTACATACAACTCACTGCAAAGTACTGCTTTTAACTGGGACAAGTGGGGGGGTTTACCCATTGTCTAATCATTATCTATGAAAGGCTGTGTTCTTGCTTTCAGAAATGAAACTGGGCTTACTTTTGGGTGTTGCAACAATCTTGTGAGAAACTGGAGAGAGTTTGCTGTTGATCTAAACCCAAATCTGGTACATATTCAGGGCTGTGAGTTGAAGCCAGAGCTGGATCCAAATTAATTGAAGATCCATCCAGAGATGTCAGGAACTCTTTTTTTTTTTCCCCTCCACCTCTGAATGCCTCTTCCTTTAAGTTCATGTAGAACATTCTTGGAAAAGTAAAATGCTCTGAATTGCTTGCTCCCTTCACCAGGATTGTCATTAGGCATCCAAGCCAACGGTGCCTGCCTACTTTCACCCCAAGATAACACTGACTTCACTTTATATATGCACATACCATATGTACAAATTACGACCATCTGCAGTAACAGCCAGCACAGCAGATGGAAAGATCCGGTCAGATCTCCCATTATGAACCAAGCACTATCCTCTACCCGATCCAAAAAAAAACAACAAAAAAGCCTTTTGTCCTTTAAAAATATGTCCTTTATATGACCACTAAAACACATAAAAACATATTTTCTACCATTTTTTCAATTTAAAGAAAAATATTTCTCTGACAGTGTCAACTAGCAGAATTTGCCACTGTCATCTGTATTTTATGCATGGCTAACATTAAGAGGTAGTTACAGAAATGTCAAAGCTATAAAGTATTAAAAATACCCTTTAGCAATACAGTGCTACAGTTACATAATGTGCTGAACATGTTGCAGTTAATTATAGAGACAAAAATCTCTCTTACTTTCGACTGGGATTTTAAGTGTTATCATCTAGCCGATAGGTGATTATTACAAGGCGTTAGAAAATTGTGCTCTCGATGTATTTAGCACCCCCCACACTCGCACACAGATGCTTTGAAACGCACAGCCCTCCCCGGAGCAAGTGTTTGAGCGTGCAGGTGCACGCAGGGGTGCATGCAGGTGCCTAGGGGAGCGCTGGGCAAGTGTGCTGGGAGCTATTGAGTGTATGGGGCTGGTCTGGGGCCTCTCCGGCATGGTCACTGCTCCCAGCAGGACGGCCTTTGCCTCGGGAACTTGGGTGGCAAGCCCATACGTCAGGATAGATAGGTTTACTTTTGCACTGGATGCAATCTGAGCACCTTGTGGAAGGATCCGCGTAACTGCAGTGGTGTCTTTGCAAATATATCATAGTCAAATGCTCTATTTTCCGGTAAACCTTGCTCTACCAATTGCTGCCTACCTGTTGGTATCACAACACTTGCCTTGCCTGCATTACACACTGCCACTCTTCAGTGACATCAAGTGCCCTCTCCAAAGCGTGCCAGTTCCAAGCTACTAGCTCGGTTTCATGGGGTGTAGATGTCATGCAAGTCCCTAATGTCTCAGTAGAAGAAATGATACTATGTGCAGAAATATCCATTATTTAAAGCCATACCCTGTTTCCTTCATCTGTTTTTAATTTTATTTTCGGAACCCTGTGAGGTTGTTGCCTACAGCAGTACTGAAGCTAGTTTCCAAAAACACTTGAAGGCCCCAATTCTATTGGTCTTGACGACTTCTTGTCAATGTGGTCTCTTAGCATTTTCTTGTCTGTGGATTTTGCAATTGTAATTTATTGGCAACTTTGGCATGAGGGAAAGATGCTGAAGAATACATTTAGCTTTCATTCTCCTTCTGCTATTTGCTTTGCAGTTAGCCCTCCTTTGAGTAGGATGTTGGATTAGCTGATTGCCCTAATTGCAAATTAGCTCTACAATTCCTTTCTAATGTGCCCTGCACTATCCCCAGGTGCCAGGATATTTACTGCAAGGTTGTCTGTCCTGGAGGCACTTGATTACAGGTACTCAAAGAGAAAAGACCAATTTGAAAAATCTGTTTTCTATTTGACTAATGGAAAGTTTCTAGGCTTAGATATTGAGATAGCCATGCCCAATTCTTCTGGTAGAGGGGATAACGTCTCCTTTGGGACAGGTCTGTTTCCAGTACAGCAGTGCTACTTGCTCAAATCACAGCTGGTTTGGGCCTGACCTGCATGATAATTCCAGGTACAGATAAGATGTGCATGGAGTTAATTTTCAAGAAAAACTGTTTCAAGATTTGAACTCTGCTCTTGACTCTGTATTGAAACTGTGCTGGCACTTCAGTTTCCCCTGCCTGCGAACTGAGAAGACTACTTCTTAAATAAACTGCATGTTAGGAAACAGTTTGTTTTAAGCACCTAAAGAGACAATGAACTATACCCACAATACATTACAGTCCTTGACAGATGGAGCAGTGGCCTCGGGGGACTGCTAAAAGCATAACACTTACTGGTTTTGTACCTGGAGCAGTCAAGCAATTTTAGGTTTGCTCCACAGTACGGTTGCAAGCAAACAACTTAATGACAAACAAGGAAATACATTATTGCCTCCATTTGCCTTGCTGCTCTGTTCCAGCCTGTATTAATTCACCTTGGCATACCAGTATTTTAATGCTCCCTAGATTTTTTTTAAAGGCAATGTTGGTAATGGAGAAAAAATATCTCAGATGTATCTATTATCAACAGTAATTCAAGATTAATTCCATTAAAATCAAAAAGCCCAACAACCTATGTTTTTTTTCTAAATATATATTGTAGGGTACTGCCTATCTTGGGTTTGTGGTATTTTTCAAGGCAAAAGATTGTCAAACTCATTTCCTGCTTGTTTTGGGAAGCACTGATGTCTCTTTAGATTATTTGTATCAGTCTTTGCTAACATGGAAAGGCTTTTTCTTTGTCTTCTGAAACATAGTTTAGCTTTTCATAGTATTATGTATTTTTTTTTAATAAAAAAGAAAACCTTTCCCTTTTCCAATGTCCTCCTATGAGAGAGCTGAAAGATGGGCTCATTCTGCACCATGCTATAAAGAGCTGCTAGTGGCTTTTGGGAAGGGATACAGCTCTGAGATGCTTGATCCCTTTTCTCCCATGAAACATGACTTCTCCCAGCTTCCTCTTATGGAAGAAGTTAAAGTGTAAATCCACTATATTCTTCCTCCAGCTCTATGTTGTTAGCATGGGAAGGTAGCTGTCCCATACACCAATCTAATGTAGCTACTCAGATAAGAAAAGCAAGAGCCACGGTGGTGTCCTGTGCTGTAAAAACCTGCAAACAGCACCTAAATGCTGCAGCATTTTTTTATCTTTTCCCATCATATCTACATATATACATTAGATACAATTCTCCCAAATACATTTCTTAATCTATTTTTAACGAACAAGAAACAAGACTTGAAAACTAGGATGTACTGAGACTGTTTAGGTGAATTTAATTCTGCCTCCTTGCATTTATGCAGCATAGTGACTCTGGTTGATTCACTGAGCAGAAAAGACTACAAAAAGGCACGGAATTAGGAAGAGGACAGAGAACAGTAAAGCTGCTCTTTTCTCCTGTGAGCAATTAAAGGCTGAGAGTTTATTTCCATGCTTTTTTCTCTCTCCAATTGGGAAGTTATTACTGATTCCCAGGATGTATTTTGTTTTTAAATCTAAAACTGCGAAGGTACACTCTGCTGTGAGATCTTGTGCCAACTATGACTGTTTCAACAGTTGTTTTTACATATTTAATGTAGTGTCTGACTTTATTCATTTCTGCTCTCAGGAGTAATTCTGTAATAAGCCTTTTTGAGATTGAGCCCTATTCTGCTCCTAATTTCATCTATGCAAAGTAGAGAGAGGATACAGTTGCTCTAAATTTTTATTAGTGTGAAGTCAGGGTCTCCTGACTTTAGAAAGATAGTTTAAATCACCATAATTTCCCCACAGCACAATAACCAAATATAGTTACTCCAAGTCATCACTCACTAGAATGGAAAGTGTCTATTTTGTGGAACGGTACAGCTGCATGTTGGGTTCCCTTAGGAGCTGAAGTCAGCGAGAGCCCTAGGAAAAATGTCATTTTATCCAAGCATCTTTGAGACAAAGCAAACTGTAGCCCACAGGAAATATCAAA